GCTCAACATATGTCTTACAATAATGGCCAACTTTTTAACCTATATTTACATTATTATAAAATTCAAATTTCTTTAAATTTAAAAAAAATAGTCACTTTTAATGGAGTTAGTCGCATTGCCAACAGAAAAGATTTAACAAAACATTCTGAGTGGTTTGTATAAAGATTACTTTATTTAACAAATACACAAAAAGTAAAGCTCAATCAAATAAAAAATAACAAAGTATTATTGCAAATCATTTAAACACAAATTCTGGCATTTAATAAAACATAAATATGGGTTTCCATCCAATACAAGCAACTTAATTCTGCGTAGGTAATGCAATTGTCTTCACTCTCGACTTCGCCTTGCAAGATATGAAAGAACTCATCATACAAAAGCACTATAAAGCTCTTAACGCATCAACTTAGCAAATCATAACCTTTTACAATGACAGTTCAAACATGAAACATCTGTTAGTTGACAGTTGTTATGGAAACATGGAGTTAATCAAACTGGCCTCCGAAACAGCTGGGGAAAGGTTCAGTTGGTAAAACATGTAACGCATTTTAGCAGCAAACTAATGAACTATGGAGTTAGTCGTCTTGGCCACTGAAAATTCTTTATAAAAGCAATCTAACCATGTTATAAACTCGATTTGAAAAAAAATTGGACTTAGTCAGATTGACTTCTGAACGCCTCATATTACAGTTGAACACTTAATACTGGGTTTGCTCTTTCTTACATACTCTTTTCTTTTTCTCCAAACAAATTATAATTGTAGAGCCTTTCATAGAACTCTGTAATATGTGTTCATTAAGGGCTAAGTGTAAGAGGTTTAAATGTATCCTAGAAATGTACATTTGTATTTTGTAAATATTTTCATTATTGTGATACAATAAATTTTGAGACGTAACATTTGGTTGACATGTTTTTGTTTTATGCCCACTTGTCATATTATAAGTATAGATGATGTTTATCATAATTTACCCACAACTTTAGTGGTTTTTTTTATTACTGTAAAAGTAACAATAGTATGAATTTACCGACCTAATCTGGCTGAAGTCAGGTCAGAAATTTACAAATTCAACTAAAATATTACTTAAATTTGATTATAAAAGTTTGTATTTGCTTTTGCTTTTTAACTGTTTAATTGGCCACCAAATCCTGAATTCTTTTTAGTAGTCAAACTTTGGTCTTTGTTCCCTAATATACGAGGTAGAGGTAGCAGAGAGATATGCAGGTATGAGGAGGTATGCAGTGTGCAGCGCAGTATAACAACTACAGTCAATGTAATAAAGTGCGGACACCTGAAACCTAACCAGTATCATCCAAGCTCAGTTTGGGGCAACTAGGCTGGTTGTCTTGACACACCTGCTACGATGCTGTACTAATGACAGCGAATTAACGCATAGTCTCGTGAAACTTAATGCTTGTTGATAGTAAGATTTGGCAAATTGGAATTTTGGTTTCACAGACACAATGACATACTGATAGGCAGAAGAACAGGCGGAAATGGGATTAAACTCGTTTTAGCTTTCTTAGGCCATGAAACATTGAAAATAACAAAAAACTTCATGATTCTAATCTATGTAACCACAAAACTTAAATTTTATTTATATACTAGCTGACCCCGCGAACTTCGTATCGCCTAAGTTATAGGTTTCCCCTAAGACAGACCGATGGAAAGAAAGTACCGTTACGTTTAATTTTCAAGATGATCTCGTTCGCATCGCTCAATCACGTCCTGGTTGAAGTTCGTTCGCTACGCTCACTCACCTTTGGGTTGGAGCTCGTTCGCTACGCTCACTCACCTTTAGGTTGGAGCTCGTTCGCTGCGCTCACTTGCCTTTAGGTTAGCTCGTTCGCTACGCTCACTCGCCTCCAGGTTGAAGTTCGTTCGCTACGCTCACTCACCTTTTGGTTGCAAATTAGCTGTTGTCATAAATGTAAAAGAAATAATAGTGCTGCACCCTGTTGGTAATCCTTGTAACTTTAATGCCATTGAACATCATAGAACAGAACCAACTTGTTTAATTGAAACAGCTGTTAAGATTCATTAATTCCATTTCCCATAAGGTTAACATGGGAAACTCCAGAGCCACTGGGGCGGAGCCCTTTTAAGAATTTCGAAACGGGAAATAGTTTACTTCCTATTCGCATACCTACAGAATTTACACACCAAATTTCATAACGATCGGTGAAGTCGTTCCGGAGGAGTTTGCAGACAAACACTGTGACACGAGAATTTTATATATTAGATAGATAGATATGTATCAAATTGTAAGAAAAATATCAAGGCAAAGAATACTAGGACAAATAATAAATATAATTTATTATAAATACAAAAACTAATACAAAAATAACTAAAAGCTTAAAATAACTGTTTGATAAAAATTAATACTGAGCATTGTCTATTTAATAACTAACTATTGAGGTATAGATAGATGTTGATGTTTTACAAAAAGTAAATACAATGAAATTAATCACCATCCAGTTCATCAACATTTAAAACATAAATTAATACTGCTTGATGGCAACAGACAAACTACAAGGAACTACTTTTGAGTAAACAAAATAAACATAATCTAATATTTTTTGTTTTGTTTCATGGTAGGGAAATCATACTGAAAAAATACTGATAAAAAATACTGAAAAAAATACTGATAAAAATAAAATGTTTAAAATAGCCTAAATATGCTAAAGCTAAAAAGTCCCAAAAATTATAAAAATTGCCAAAAAAGTAATATTTTTCCATTGTTAACCAGTAGTCACATTGAACCATCATAAATATGATTACAATCTTTTTAGTCCATTTTATAAGGTCTTTGTTGCCACAGATTATTAAAGAAATAGAATTAGTTGTTTTCATTAATGTAACTTATTGCATAACATAGCAAAATCTTAATAATCTTTATGGCAATTGACAATGCGCCATAATAAATGTGAATCTATCTATATATTTAATACGCGACATGAAACTTTGTGAACGACAAGGCTTTTTTGTTTTAAGATTTAACCCCACATATTATAAACCAAAATGTTCGTCTAGGTGTGTAGATGTGCAAACTGGCTTCAGATTTTCGAAATATATATTTTTAAGGGCGTGGGCTGCCCTCAAAGTTACTTCCATAAGGATAACATTGTGATTGATTTGAATGTTATTACATTCTGAAACATATGTCTATACATTATTTTTCCATAAAAAATAAATCCCAGCTGTATTTTTTCATTTTTGGTTTTTAAATGTAAACAGTTTGCATGTTTTTAAAAATAACTAGAAACCCAGCAAAGAAATGTTACCTAAAGGACACGACGGGAGAAAAGTTTTACATTTTATTTTCGTTTAAACATGCCAAGGACCCAACGACAAAGAAAAATTACCGGTCGGACACGGCGAGTCACCATACGGCAAGCAATGCAAATCGCAAGGAGCCCAGACGAGAAGCTGGAACAGTTAGTGACAACGTTTACTTACAAAATTGCACTGACAAATACTAGAATTCAGCAGCATTCACTTGGCAAGATGGTATTAAAATGTCAGAAATTTTGTGCGCTACATTTTACAGAAAAACAAAGAGAGGACGAGGCGAAGGATTTTCATCCTACTTCCATAAAGGAAAAGCAATTATATCCAGAGCCTACTTAATAGAGCAAATCCTTTGAGCAGAAACTACAAAGAGAACATTAGATCGTACAACTCTGCGCTCGCAATGGTCAGCACTCGAGCTAAAATTGAAGAACATAACGGTGGAGGGCCTTTCGCATAAGTTGCACGGCACAATATATCACTCAATTGGCACCTTACAACCGTCAGAAGGGTAGCATCCCACATATGCCCAAATTTATACCTACAACGTCGAAACCGCTGTTCAAGAAAGAATGCTAATCAACGTGATCCTTGAAAAAGTACCAGGTGAAGAAAGAATTTATCTCAGCATGTACTCAGTCAACACCGATGATGTTTCGGAACAATTACAGTTTCCTGTTGAATTCTTTCAATAGTCTTGAAGGAAGTGGTCTTCCACGACACAGGATAGCTCTGAAAATTGACACCACCTTTGTAATGCTAATGCAAAACCTAAATACAAGAAAAGGCGTAATCAATGGTACCCAAATGAAAGTTACTGGCCTGTATGCAAATAGCATTGAGTGTGAAGTTTTGACAGGATCGAGCCATGGCCAGCTAATTTTAATTCCAAAAGTTAGGCTTTCTCCATCTGATACGCCTTTCCCATTAAAAACTGACACGATACCAGTTTCCTATCTGATTTACACTTGTATATGCAATTACGATCAACAAAAGTCAGGGACAAACCTTTACGAAGGTATCACTGAAGCTCCCAAAGCCGGTCTTCTCGCATGGCCAACTATATGTTACACTCAGTCGTACAAAAAGCTTCGATGCAGAAAGGGTTTTCATTACAGAAACAGAGAAACAATTCGTTGATGGTGAAAGTTCTATCTTTACAACTAATGTCGTTTTTAAAGAGATTTTGTAAACAGTGCATTTATCTTTAATTATTTAAACATGTTTTATATGTAGCTTTTATTTTTTCTGTCATTGATTTGTTTTAATACCAAATACATTTCATTCAAACATTCAAAATATCCTAATTTGTTATTCGTGCGAATTCCCAAGGGTTCACCTAGTAACAGAATAATACTGACCTTTGAGCATCCTTCATACAAGCAGAAGTCATACTGTATGGCTAGTTTCAACATCCATCCAACCCGAAGAAAAAGTATCGGTAAAATTTGAATGTTCTTTACATAATTATGTTCAACATGGGGCAGTGTTTAAACTCTTTCAATTAATTAATTTAACTAAATAATACTTCAAGCATATACTAAGCAAAAAAAATTATAATTAATTTAAAATTTTAGAAGCGTCCAAACAACCTCATAACGTCAACCATTTAATTTGCTCTGAACAGTATTTAACATCACTTCAAACATAACTTCACACAACAAACTACGGTTTGGAATTGTAAGGTTTCTTTGAGAGATTTGTAAAATGTTCACATTTTAGTCTGTCCACATGCAGGCATGAGTCTATTACTAGCCAAGTGTTTGACCCTCGGCACACTGACCACAAACACAACGTAGATAATGACGCCTTGTAACGTGTTGAGAGTATCTGTCACTAACCACACTTCTATGGGACCTCCGATGAAGTAGGAGAGAAGTTCTAGAGTCCAGTTGAGACCCATCACCACAAACAAGATCAGACAGTGCTTAAACCTGCACCAAACAAGACATCTTATCAACCTGATTCAGAAAGGACAATTCCAAAAGTAGCTAAGTCAATTTTTTGAGATATAAGATTTAGTCAAGCTGTATACTGTTTCCTCAGTGCCACATTCTTTAAAACGTCCAATGCAAAATAAATAAAGAAATGAGAAGTATTTTCAAAGAGCATGCATCATCAATTTTGTTTTGTATTGCTCATGTGCATACAAAATATCTTGTCTTTACATGCTCTGCAGCTGATCTGTAGGACACTGAATTGCCTAATGAACATGTACAGCATAATCTATATATTAATTTGAAACTGTTTTTCTTTGTGACAGCTATTTTGAGAGAACGGCTGGGCGTAGAAACTCGGTAGAGGTGTCTAAAGAAAGGTCCTGGTCTGTAGATGAGCCATCAAAAGAGAAACATGGAGAATTCCCTCGGGGCTCTGCCCCAGTGGCCTTTAAATTCCCATCCCATGTTATTCTTATGGAGGAAAACGAGGTTTTTGTCACAGCTAATTTGAGAGAACGGCTGGGCGTAAAAACTTGGTAGGGGTGTCTAAAGAAAGGTATTGGTCTGTAGGTGAGCCCTCAAAAGAGAAACGATGCAAATTTCCTTGGGGCTCTGCCCCAGAGGCCTTTAAAGTTCACTCTGCAATTTTGTTTACATTTCGACCATATGGATAATTTTACACTACTTTTAATGAACCAGCTGTTAATATTAAAATTGTATTCAAAGGTCTACTGAAACTGTCAAAATTAAATTATGATTTTAAATGGATTCTCCTCTGCATGGCAAGTTTTTTATAGTTTCAACAAAATGATGAATTTATGATACGTTTGAAATGTTTTGTTCAAAAATCTATGCTTTATTGCTCTTAGAATATTTTTAATTATGAAATAAGTGTGACTTATCAATTTCAAAGGAACATATAACTATTCCTTATCGGGTTAGCTTATACATATTGTAAGGTTGGCACTTGCCTTTTTTTCCTACTTTCAATCACCATTTATTTTTAAATTCAAGAAAGAACACCTGAGATTCATTTATTGGTATAACAGTTTTTGATAATCGGGTTGAAAATTGTGTCATAGAGTACGTTGAGGATGAGAGCTGTGTTCAAGTTTTGGAATAGACTAACTACGGAGTCTATGGTTTTGGTAAAGTAGGTGAACTAATGTCAATTCAGGTATTAAAAAAAAATGTGTACACAGTTTTTACTTTGATATACACATGTAGCTAGGTTGAACAACGCATCTAAACCTCACTACATACAAAACATTCGGAAACACAACAGTGTCATCACATCTCATCACATTTGCATAATTTGTTACCAATGCTGGACTAGGTTATGGATTTGGTTCCGCAAATGTTCAAGATTTGTGATCAAATTTCCTACAATTATGGTTCATTGTTCATTCCAATCCACGAAATACATGCACAGCTTTATGTGATCTATATGTCCAAGGCAAAACTACCCCATAAGTTAATGAATTATCAAGTAAGAACAGGATGATTAAATACATGGGTCGATGTGGCAAGAGAAGGAATTAAAATTGCTGAGATCGAAGTAAGAATGTTACTGCTTTATGGAGAATCAGATAGTTTTATAAAAAAAGATGAAGATTTACTTTTAAATCCTGATACAATCTGAATGATTTTCCTAAAGCAGATGGAATTAGTGGTTAGTAATAAATATTGACTCTTTCCGTAACATGATAGACTAATTATATGAACTCATTCTCCCATATAGTGAAAGTGGCTTTGGTATGAAACAAACTCATGAAGAAACAATTATAAGACTCCTAAAAAACCTTTTGGGCAACCTAAAGCCGATAAAAAGAAAGGTAGGAAATATTGTGTTAAACGAATTCATCAATCACGTTTTTTAGGGAACACAATCGTCATACTTATTATTGTTTATCCTCCCTTCATATAACTAAGATTTTAATGACTTCACTCTATCTAACGCAGTTAGCTGAATTTACATAAAACCTCAAGATTAACCGTCGATTTCGACGGGGTTCCACTAGTATGTTTTTAAATTTAGATTATAATTTTCTAAAATAGCATAATAACTTTATAATGGCATGTAAAGATTTATGGTAGACACACAGACAGTGTCATGCATTACTAGAAAATGTATAAAAAATATAAAATAACCAAGCACTCTTTGAAATCCATCTCTTTAGTTGTGTTTGAAAAAACTAACTATGCTCAAAAACACTTGTGTGTTTGTTATTTCTAAATACATTTTGAAACATCTAAAAAAAGAACGGCTAATTTACAATTGTTACTTTAAAATAAAAAATGTAGTAGTTTCAAACACACTGGTGTGAAAGCTTCCCAAAGCAAATCCACCACATTTGTGATGCTTAATACCTAAAGTGACATTTTGTCATCAAGTTATTTCATAGTCTCTGCCTATCTAGGAGTGCTAATAGTCGTTAGACTCACATTTCAACCCTGCGGCTGGCCTTGCTGTAGCTACAAGGGTTGCGCTCAGCGTTGAGTCCCAGCTCTTCCTCCACACGTTGCTCTACGGCCGAGCGTACAGCGGAGATACTTAGGCAGAACAGCCCGATGTTGGCCAGCAGCAACAAGCCAATGGGAGCATAGAAGTACGGCAGTGCTGCTGCTTTGCCTTCAAGCACAATAAAAAAGTACAAATTTATGATGTGTAAACTGTATGTTGTTTATAATAAGTGGGTGAAATCTAAAAATAATTTTAAAAAACACATATCCTGCAAGTATCTTGCATTTCTGCTGTCACAGTGATTTGTTGGTAATACTTGGGAACCAAGGTAGCAGAGTGGGTGAGATTCATATGACACCACTACATATATCAGTACAATAATGTTCCTTGTACCTTCCCAATCAATGGTGAACATTACTTGATTTGTTCATTCATACACATGTTCAATGTTGCAGATAAAAAAAACTTGCAATTTAGAGAGAGGTTTTTTAAGTAAGGCCTGGATTTGCATATAAATCCGTTGATCACTGCAATGAGGCTCCTCACCACTTACTGGCATCATTTGTGAATATAATGACACAAATTACATAGCTGCCATGTACACTAAACTATGTATTTTTAAAAGTTTTTAAACCATCGAATCTCTGCCGTGTCCGATGTATGGTCAGTGATAAGTTTTTTTTTTTTTATTAGAAGAAACATAACCGATGCTGACATTCATCGCCAGATGACTGAAGGCTATGGCCCTAATGCAATGAGTGAGGGCAAAGTGTGGAAATAGGTTATGAGTGCAAATATGGCCGCAAATTCCTTTGTGCTCTTCTGTGAGAAGTCTGGGTACCCACAAAAACACAATTCCATCAGAAATGAACATTTCCATGGCTATAGGAGGAACATTTAAACTCCCCTTGCCTATTTCTGCACTTTCTACACCAAGATTGGATCAGGGTCATAAACTTCACTCAACTGGCAAAGAATGGTAGCATTGGATATGTTTCTTGTAATAAAAAAACATATCACTGAACTTAGCTCAGACGCGGCAGGAGATTCATTCAAAGGTTTAAAAATTGTTTAAAACACATTGCGAAGCATAAATGACAGCTACAGAGCTGCAATTTGTTTCATTCTGTTCACAAACGATGCCAGTTAGTGGTGAGGAGCCTCGTTGTGGTGTACAAGCAAACTACGGATTTATACGCAAAACCGGCCCTTACTAAAAAAACCGCCTTTATAATCAAACTCTTGAATGTAAACATAACAATTTTGTTACCGAATAATAACCTCATGACAGTAAACACCGCAAACCACACTGTGTACTCATATGTGTGTGGTTTTACTAAATGAAGTGTATAAATGACCATTTATACTTATATGTACGTCATTTATACTTGTATTTATGTACATTGTAGCCAATGTAAATATTTACTTAGAAACAAGCAATCTAAAGACCAAAAAATGTTTACACAAAAAATAACAATAACTCACTATGAAACCAGCAGCTCTGCAACCCAAAACTGGGTTTGAGGTAGGCATTAGGCACGACTGGGGTGAGCTCCATAACTATGGTGACGATCCCAAACATAAGAGGCATGCTCCAGGCATACAAGGAGTACCACAGGAACCTCACCCTCTCCTGACGTGATGACCAGCACGGCTTGCGACTGTAGAACATTACAACTACTAAACACTGAATGAGAGTTGTTCATAAATAAGGGTATCTAAGGAACTCCAAAAGTGGAACCATCATCATTCATCATGCAAATGAGTACGGCCAGATGCAAACTACAGGAGCCGAGTACAGCCAGATGCAAACTACAGGAGCCGAGTACAGCCAGATGCAAACTACAGGAGCCGCACATTTTTTACTTTAATTCATAACACATCACATATAACCAGGGCCGCGTTAAGGGTCAGTGGCGCCCTGGGCAAACCCAAAAGCATAGCGCCCCCTTATATATATATATATATATATGAGCGAAGGGGTTTTTTTTTAGTGTGGCCTCGGGTTGACTCATCAGTTCGCCGAAATTCACTGCAGGTGGATTTGGCGTTGGGGTGAGTGCAATGAATGCCTCTAGCCCTGCGCCAATAGCTTAATGCACTACGCAGTGATTTGATTACTGTTCAGTACAGTAGGCCTACAGTGTGCAGTTCATTGTATTACACATGTATTGAACGAGATTCCACTAAGGAGTATGTTTTTTCCATGGTTCTACTATAGGCATATTTATACATTAGCGTGTTTTTTTACCAGTTTTGTTTCGGGAGGGAGTTTTCAATTCCGTATCAATGGAAAAAATACTGGTTAATACATGTCATTTTCTTTAAACTGCTTCCTGAGTTTGTTTTCTTTCAGCCAACCGAATGCGGCTCTCGGCTGCACTAGGTTTTTTATGCATTTTTCACTGTTTATAGGCCTACTTACTTGTATCAACACTACTCTCTTTATTTATTACTGGTTCACTAACTGCAGTGTGAGTGTCAACACTGACTAGTGACTGTCACAGTTTAGGTTGTGTTGTGACTGATTTGAGTACTGTGCAGCAGGCACAACACGAACACAACCTACTGACTACTGAGGGAGGAGTACAGTACTGACTGAACTGGACTACTGTAGTACTGGACTGCACTGGACTGACTGGCCAATGACTGGAGCCACACGGTAGTTGGTAGTTGTGACTTGTGGGGATGGGGGTGGGACTGTGAGGGAGAGGAGGGGCACGTCAACCGTAGGCATGTATAGACTACAGCTGGCCTAGGTGCTATTCCCGTAATTTTCTGACGTCACCCAAATTGCAAACAAAATCAGCTGATGTAGGCCTATCGTCATACAAGTATATATTTGTTTTGATTTGATTGTTATTGTTTTACAATTTTTCTAAATGGTAAAATGGTGTTTGCAATCTGAGTGACGTCAGCATATGATGGGAATAGCACACCTATGTATTTTCCTTCCACCATGCAGGCCTCCCATTGGCCTCCCTGCCTCTGATAGTATAGTGAGTGCGCCCGGTTCACACTGCTGCCTGCCTTTCCCTGATTACACGAGGTATAACCTGAAGGTCGAGTATTTTCAATTTTGTTGTATTTATTTACTTTTGCAATAAGGAAAAATCACTTAACTAGAAGTTGAAATTGTCGCATCCGAACCTGGATGCGAGCGAAGGAGGATCGGGTACTCGAAATAATTAACACATTTTACGTTCAGAAAAACCGCATTGGTGTGCGGGAGCCGGTGAGGTAGGACGATGACTGTTGTACAGAGAGTGTCGGGTGATCGAGGTAGCAGTGGGAACGGAAGGTGGTGTGATGGAAACAACCAATGGGGTTAGTTTATTCGATCAGGCCATATGACGTCACATCGTACGATATCTAACGGTACATGGATCGAGCTAGCAAATTTAATACTTGTAATATTTGAATCTGAATTAGAAATATATAATTCATTTTATAATTAAATTAATACACCACATTTCCTCCGCCCTTACTTTTGAACATAGCTTGTATAAAATTTTTATGGAAAAATGTATACACACAAATTGAAAACATCAGTAATGAAAATGAAAACACAATTTGAAAACATCAGAGTTGAAAACAACATTAAAGATTGTAAACATCGGTGCTGAAAATAAACACAAAAATATTGAAACATAAGTGCTGAAAATAAACACAAAAATATTGAAACATCAGTGCTGAAAATAAACACAATAAAATTGCAACCAAGCGTAAATATAAAACCATAACAAACAATTACAAATCCATTTTCTTTGGAGGATTCCTATCCCGTTGTGGATATCGCCTAGTATTAGTTGTAACAGGTGACGTAGCAGTCAGCTGATCGGGTTGTAAAGAATGGCGTTTCGCAACAATAGGACTATGCCGCTCGGACTGGCGTGTAGTTGGTGAGTGACGCGTAGTGGTGGGAGAACTCAGCTGTGGAGGCTGGGTGTGCTGGTGGGGCGGCCTGGCTGGTGACGACACCGGTGCTGACGATACACAGGAAGTAGTAACAGCTGATGTTGACGTCACGGGATCGTAGTATCTGCTATGTTCCGTGTTGATGTTGCTGCCTGTTTGCAAGCCTACCAGCTGATCTATGTGTCGCTTCCAAGTTGAGCCTGTCTCTAGTTGTACAATATATGTTACTGGCCCTAGTCGTCTAACAACCGTACATTCAACCCACTTATCCTTCCCTCTATAGTCTCTTGCTAGTACACATTGTCCTATAGCTAATTGTCTAGTATGGGTACCCCTTGCATTTATGACCTGTTTCTCTTGTTTTTGAGCAACAGTTGACTGAATGTTTGGTCTGATTAAATCTAACCTAGTTCTTAATGGTCGATTAAACATAAGTTTGGCGGGAGATTCACAAGTGGTACTATGGACTGTGTTACGATAAGAGATAAGAAATCTACTTAAAGCTATATTTACATCCTCATTTTCAAAGATTGCACATTTTAATCTTTTCTTTACTGATTTTACCGCGTTCTCAGCTTGGCCATTAGAAGCTGGATGGTAAGGTGGAGTCAAGATTTGTCTTATTCCATTCTGTTTCAAAAATTTTGAAAATTCCTCAGAACAAAAAGGTGGACCATTATCACTAACTATTATTTCTGGTAAGCCAAATCTACAAAACATAGGCCTGAGTTTGTCAATGGTCTGTTTGGCTGAAGTGGAACTAACAAGTTCTACCTCAATCCATTTACTATGGGCGTCTAGTACAATTAAATATATTTGTCCTTTTAATGGTCCAAGGAAATCGACATGAATTCTTTGCCAAACATTGGGAGGAAATTCCCATACATGAAGTTTACTTTTAACAGGAGATTCCCGCTGTGCAAGACACGCTGAGCAACTGTTAGTCACGGCCTCAATATCCTTATCAATAGAAGGCCACCATAAATACGACCTGGCTAACGACTTCATTTTTACAACTCCTAGATGTCCATTATGTAATTCTTTTAATAAAGCCCCTCTTAAGGATTTTGGAATGACTACTCTATAGCCCCACATTAGTATTCTGTGTTCAACTGTTAGCTCAGCTTGCCTTTTGACATAGTCACTTAGATTAACGTCAGAATTGATTGGCCAGCCGTACAAAACATACCCAAGGATTCTGTTTAACTCACTGTCTTTTTGAGTTTCCTTACGTACATCATTAAAATCTATTGGTACATCGCACTCTGATATACATTGGAGATATGTTCCTAAATAATCAATATTTACATTACTTTCTTCCCTGTCATTACAATTTAGCGGAAGTCTAGACAATCCGTCCGCGTTACCATGATTTTGTGACTTAACATAATTAATGTCGTAATCGTAACCTGACAAAAATAACGCGTAGCGTTGTAGTCTGCCAGCTGCAAATGCTGGTAACCCTTTTTTCGAACCAAATATAGCTAATAGTGGTTTATGGTCTGTACAAAGAGTGAACTTCCTGCCCCATAAATACTGATTGAATTTATTTACACAGAAAACAATGCTTAGTGCCTCTTTGTCTATTTGAGAATAGTTCCTTTCTGCTGAGTTTAGTACTCTACTTGTGAATGAAATTGGTCTCTCTATTCCATTTTTGTCAACAATGCTTAACACTCCTGCGATGCCGTAGGGTGACGCATCACATGACAATTTAATTGGCAAGTCTGGGTTGTAGTGCGCTAGCACATTAGCTGAAACTAATCTTTCTTTTATAGCTTCAAACGCCTTTTGACATGACAAAGACCATTTAAAAACTACGTCTTTCCTTAATAATTGATACAAGGGTGTTAGAATGGTAGCAACATTTGGTACAAACTTTGCATAGTAATTAACTAGACCTAGAAAACCCTTGAGCTGTGTAACATCTTTTGGAACTGGTGCCTCTACAATGGCTTTGACTTTACCTTTGGATGTGGCAAGACCCTCTTGGCTAATTACGTACCCTAAGTACTCTAAGCTATCACTGAAAAATTGACATTTATCTTTACTAACAGTTAACCCTGTTGACTTTAGCCTACTACACACTTCTCTTAGTCTCGACAGATGTTCAGCTGTGTCAGCTCCGGTAACAATAATATCATCAAGAAATGACGCTACACCCGGGATACCTTGTAGTGTCTGCTCAATTACCCATTGAAAAATACTTGGGGCAGAAGATATTCCGTAACAAAGTCGGTTATATGCAAATAACCCCTTGTGTGTACTTATGGTACAAAGTTTCTTGCTTTCATCGTCTAACATTAGTTGCATATATGCTGATGATAAATCTATTTTAGAAAATTGTTTTCCTTTCTGTAAGATTGCAAAAAGATCTTCAATGCGAGGTATAGGATGTCTATCTACTTCTAGATATGGATTTAAGGTAACTTTGAAGTCACCGCAAATGCGTATTTTGCCATTACGTTTTAGTACGGGAACAATAGGTGTACCCCAATCACTAGTTGAAACAGTGGAAATGATACCATCGTCAATTAAACATTGTAATTCCTGTTCTATTTTGTCTTTTAAAGAATAAGGTATAGGTCTTGGTTTGTAATACTTAGGTACTACATTTGATTTGAGCTTTAACTTAACAGGATCTCCATTGTAACAGCCTAGCTTAGTGGTAAATACCTCTGGAAATTCGTTTAATAAATCTCGCACAACTTTAGACTCATTGCCGGATTCTACTTTTACTTCATCTGAAGTCGACATTACACTATTTACATTGTTGGGGATACTAACAACGATTTGGAGATCTTTAATCCAATCCCGACCAATTAGAGGATTAGCACCATTGCTTATAACATACAATGATAGGCATTTTTCTACTGATTTGTACTTAACATTAACATTGATTTTACCTATAGGTTTGATTTTTTCATGAGTGTAGGAACTCAGAACTAGATCTGTGGGATTTAGTTTTACATCACTTAAGTGCTCATTGTAAAATTGTTCCGAAACAACAGAAACACAAGCACCTGAATCTACTTCAAATCTCATTTGTTTACCTTGTACTTGCAAATCTATTTTAATAGGTTCAATTTTGTTGACCATACCCTGATTTAAATTAACATTAAGTTCACTGTCAGTTTGAAAAATATTAGAAATGTCATATACCTCATCATTTACAACTTTATCGTTATTTTTAGATTCATCTACTTCCACATAATATTGTTTATGTTGGTATCTGTTACCCTGAGTATTTTTGGAGTAATTAACCTTGGCATTTGAACTATTTTTAGAGGAAGAATGATTGGACTTACCCCTCTTTTTTGATTTACATGCCTTCTCCAAATGACCCTTTTTTCTACAAAAATTGCACACGTATTCGCGAAAATAGCACTGGTGCGTTAAATGACCCTTTTTTCCACAACAATAGCACTCTGTAGATTGCACAACACTTGGAACGGCACTTGATGCACTTGATTGTTTGCTGCGTTGAGGTCGTTGCGCTGAGGAGAATCTCTGCAGCCTCATAGCTGTCCCCGTGCTGCCGCTGCCGCCGTGGTACGTCAGGGATGCTGCGTCCTTCTCTGCTGTCTCTAGCGATGTTGCCAGCTGCTCCGCCTTGGTAAACGTCAGGTTGTCCTCCGCCAGTAGTCTCTTCTTTATGGAATTATTCCGAATACCACTCACTAATCGGTCCCTGAGATAGTCCGGTAACTTGTCCTCGAACTGGCAATGCTTTGATAATTGCTTTAAATGAACGATGTATTCCGAAATAGTCTCGTGTTCCAGTTGGTCGCGCTTGCTGAATTTATACCTCTCCGTGATAAACGAGGGTTTAGGATGAAGATGATCCTGTAGCACTTTCACAATGTCCTTAAACGACTTCTCCGATGGTTTTTCAGGCGTAATTAAGTCTTTCAGCAGATTGTACGATTTAACTCCGATTACTGTTAGAAACGCACTTACTTTCTTGTCGTCCGAAATTCCATTACACTTTATGTAAAGTTCAAAACGTTCCACGTATGTAGACCACGTCTCCTCCGAACTGTCGAACGGCCCGAAATTTCCGATGACACTCATTGTAGTAACTTCTTCTTCTGTCAACGTTAATTTACCGAACGCGGTGTAAAAATTGCCGTCTAGTGGCATGTAACGTACTGAAACAATGGCACTGCACTGTAAAACGCGCTTCCTTTATCCACGCAGTAGGTTGTCGCACTCGTCGCCATTGTCGCATCCGAACCTGGATGCGAGCGAAGGAGGATCGGGTACTCGAAATAATTAACACATTTTACGTTCAGAAAAACCGCATTGGTGTGCGGGAGCCGGTGAGGTAGGACGATGACTGTTGTACAGAGAGTGTCGGGTGATCGAGGTAGCAGTGGGAACGGAAGGTGGTGTGATGGAAACAACCAATGGGGTTAGTTTATACCCATCTTATTTTTGAAATCCCGGCTGATGAAACCCTATTTTTCTTAGTGCGGGCAGTGGTTCAGGGCGCCCCTAGGGCGCCCCCCAACCACCGGCGCCCCTGGGCATATGCCCAGTCTGCCCGTTTATAAAAGTGGGCCTGCATATAGCAACGGATTTCAAAAGGGTTTGACTTCCTTTCCACATAAACCTAATCAAAGAGCATAATTCATACTTGTTGGGAGGGTAGATTTTCCTTCATAACGGTATCAACTACTACGGTAAGACAAGACTATGTTATGTGCAGAGATCAATCAGTTAGTAGGAAAGATCTCATTTCTTTTTTTTCTTTACACTATATCCTACTTTATTAGTATGTCCAAGGGTATACAGAGAGAGGGAGACAGCAACACACTTCCCCAATCAAAGTTTTTTTTTGGGGGGGCTTTATTTTACTAATTGGTTTTGATCATTTATAACAAGAATTTTATAAGTACCTAATCCTAGAAAGTTTTTTTGCTCATTTCATACACTTTATTTTAACAGGTGGGGGAGCAAACTGGTCTAGTGGTTAGAGTGTGGGACTTCAGGTTTGGGTGAAGAGACCCTCCCTTATCATATTTAATGGTCATGTGATCATTTCAAAATTACTGAAATAACAGTATCTATTTCATCAACATTTTGTGACCTTAAACATACGGTGTTTTTAGGTAACTGTTTATTTTTATTTTCTTAATTAAGTAAATCCTTGAAATTGTTGTCCCAAAAATTAATTTTGGCTGGATGTTTGACAAGAAGAATTTCTCTCAGAGTTAATTGAACTTAATACAAGTTTTCTTGGTTTGTGACAGATGAAATTCAAAGAATACAGTATGGACCTGTAATTTTTATGAACAAATATTGTTTGTGTTTTGAATTAAAAATACATTTTACAATTTTGATTACCTTCATATAGCCTAATCATTTTTCCAGTAGACAGCTCGACAAGTTTCAGGAATTATTTCACTTCACTTAGGGTTTGCTTTGATATATTTTAGGTGTACGTTCTTAAAACTTCTATTAATTAGTTTTGCTAAATCCTCGGTGTCGCTATCACTTTCATGTGGTTCAATAGCTTTTCTCCAGCAGGTATTTTATTTCAGAATGTATGGAGTTGCCAACTGCAACAAATTATTGTACACTTGTTCATCTGTTCTTAAAAAAAAATTATTATCTTCTGGTTACTCAGTATACTAATGCAAATAAATTTTTCTCTTCTCCGTAACCACTGTCTTGTCCATCATGAACTTGTCCATCATTGCCGTTTCCTTTCAATTTAGCACAGCGCTTTTTAACAACTAAAATAGCAAACGTTGACCAAAGCTAAACTTCCTCTATGAAGGCTAGAACTCTGCATGTGGACAATCTCGGGTTGCACAAATCTCTTCGCACACATGTGCACAAACAAATGTGAGCATGTGGACCGAGCTATAGATACCTATTACTGTTAGTGAAAAGTAATTAACCCCCGCATAAGTAGTTTTGGGTGAATTCCTAGCCTAGAGATTAGAATTAAAAGTATTAAAGTATTACTGTCTCAGACTTTGGTGGACAGGGAAACGAGTAAAATCTCCAGGCAAATCCACAATATTTTAGAAGTTAGGACCACTAACCCTTTTATGTGTTTCTCTACTAAATGGGACAGGTATAATCACTAAAAAAAGTATGTTGAAAATAATAGTACAATAATCCTGAACCAATAAACATCATGTAATGTTACTACCAGTTCCCTATGAAATGAATGAGCCAAGAATTATAATAATAACAAACAAATAATAATAATAATAATATTGAGCAAAGCTCACTTTCCCTCACTTTGTAACTTCTTTGTAAGAGCATCAGAATGTAATAGCTTGACCAATTGATATGAAATTTGGCCAACAGCTAAAGAATACTGAGCACAATGTTTATGGTAAAAGATATTTGCAAATTTCCTTCTGGATTTTATTTTACGGGTCACGCAATTTCGCTTGTTATTTTAATGTAAGTTGAAGAACAATTATATTGGGTTTATGACATATGGGTTTATCTCGTTTCATTTAAATAAGATAAACATATGTTAATTGTTTGTAACTGTTTTGTTTACATTTCAATGTTTACTTTCATCCTAGGTTAAAGTTGGAATGTAACAGTTTATCAATGGAAGTAAAAGTTTTGCTATATTTGTTTTGAGCATGCCTCAAAGGCCACGTCGTAATATTGGTCGTTGCACCAATAATGCAAATATTGTAAGAGAGTGGCGTCGTTAACAAGAAGAACCAGATGAAGCAGTGGCGGAAGAAGCTGATAATGATAGGCAGTTAGCTAATCAATTCCAACATGAATTAGATGCACTAAAATTTTACACTTGCACTAACTGTCGCTTCGCTCATTTATGGGTCTAAAGTGTAACCGCAGACCACACTAGTAATAATAATATTTTATTGTCGTAAAGCAATAAGCATTGACAAAGTCATACAATACAGTCAGAGATTGACATAGTCAACATGAAATATTGACAATAAGATTGTTGAAGAATGTAGCAAATATTTGTGGTAAATATTTAAATTTTGACAAAAAACAACAAACTAACTATTGAGAGAGATCTCCCTCCATTGTGTAACAGAGATTATTTGGTATCAACAGATAAAACTTTAAATGATTGTTTTATAGCTATCTCAAAAAGTTTTATACTAAGAGTACTTTTATTAAAGACGACCTTTAATCAGAATTACTTACGTTAGTCTCCACCAAGTGTCAATGCAGAGAACATTCAGCCAGAAAAAGCATGCAACGAATGAAAATTGGATGACAAAGGCTGGAAATAATGAATAATATATAATTAACAAAAACTAATAATTTCAATACCAAAACTGCATTCAAGAACAGAAGGCCATTATGTATGTAATGAAGAAGTCGACAGTAAACAATAATCGCAAGTAAACAATAATTTAATAATAACTTAAGGTCAGATAGTACCACGTAGATAAAATAATTGTGTGTTTTTGCAAACATAATTAGTTTTAACAACTACAGTTTAAAACTGAGCAAGGGGGGCTTTACACTGATAATATAGGACGTTATGGTGCTGTGTTGCATATACTGCATAAACTAGAAAATTGAAGATGTTTCCATAATTAGGTATTTCAGTAACTAAAACTTACCAAAAGTAACACAGGCTTTTTGTGGGAGGCAGTCTCCAGCCAACTTGACTATCGCGAGAGCTAGAAACGCAACGGTGAGACTCCCACAATGACAAGCCAGACTCTTGCCTTGAGTGTCCCTTAGCTCTGGCAATCCTGCAAATATCACCGTTGTCAGGATCAGGAACGGAACTGAGATCAACAAACCTGAAAAACCAAAACATGTTACACAACATCACCTAATTTAGGAGAATATCTCTAGAAAGTACTGTATTTACTTAATTAGTGTTCTCATTCAACCCTACAATTGTTAAACTTGACATTACTTATAATCGTTTGGCTTGTTTGGAACATTCTTACCTACAGGGTAGACGGCCAGGGCAATCTTCTCAAAGACGGTCGGAGGAGGTGGTGGTGGGGGAAAACACAGCAGAGGAAGGGTAACAGCTCCATTGCCTCCAGTAGAGGGGTGAGGAGGAGAGGGAAAAGCCTCCAAACAGTAGTGGTTCAACCCGTACAGTTGATCTGACTGGAATGGTACGAGAAGAGATCCATTGCACAAGATATGGAATTCATCATTACTGTCTTCTTCTGGCTCAAGTCTAAACCTGGAAACAACAAAGTATTAGATTGTGTCATAAATAAAACTAAAAGTCAATTCTATTTTTCAAATATGCAAACAATTGATAACTGCACTCTTAGATAAAAATGTACCCGCCGCAGCAAACTTGCAGACTAATTGAATTTCCATTTATCTGATTGAACTTTTACTAAAATATTTACTTAAACTTGTCAGATCTATTCCCTTTTCAAAAAGCATTAATTGGTTTTGTAAGGCTCATGGTCTTGTAGTAGGGGAAAGTCGGGTAATTGGGCGCAGCGGGTAATTGTGCGCACCGCCATATTTAATATTTGGAATCTACTTACCGACGTCCGATCGGTGCTACGACCTAGTGGTGGTTGGAAGAACTACGTCAAAACTCCAACGGCGGCCATTACATCGTTTTCATAGCCAGTGAAGCTTTGTTTATAAACGTGATGTGTTTGTTGTTATTTTCGCCGGCTTCAATTTAAGAAGGTATGCCTACAAATAATTTTCTATTTAGTTAAGATTGTTACATATAGGTTATATAAGTCTTACGGAACAGATATATGTCTATGGTTATATCCGATTATTAATGTTTCTGGTAAAAAATTTTAACATAAACTCCGGGTACGCGGTCGGGTAATTGAGCGCAGTGGTGCGCACAATTCCCCCTCACGTGTTGTTATGGTAATTACGATTTCGGTTTTTTTTTTCGTTTCAGATGCCACGAAAATATATCAGGAAGACGGCAAAAGGATTGTCGTACTCTGCCGATGACTTAAGAAAAGCAATTCATGAAATTCGAGTAGAAAAACAGAAAATTAGAGAAGTTGGACGACGTTTTGGAATACCTGAGTCGACTCTGAGAAAGCAAATTCGTTTGCCCAATCCTTCATCCACAGACCCCCTAGGCCGTAAGCCTATATTTAGTCCCCAACTCGAGCTTGATCTCAAAGAATACATACTATCTCTTTGTAAATTGTTTTATGGTTTGACACCGAAAGAGTTGAGACGCCTTGTTTACAAATATGCAGAGTCTAAGGGACTATCACATAACTTTAATAGAGAGTTAGGTATGGCAGGAAAAGACTGGTTATATGGGTTTCTTAATAGACATCCCGAAGTAAAACTCAGGCAACCTGAAGGAACAAGTATAAACAGAATATTGGCGTTCAATCAAGAAGATGTAAGTAAATTTTATGACAACCTCGAGGCAATTTTGAAGAAGCACAATTTTCCTCCTCACAGGATCTACAATCAGGACGAAACCGGAATATCAACTGTCCAAAAAAAATGTCCTAAAGTGCTTGGATTGAAAGGTGCTAAAAAAGTAGGCACTGCCACTTCTGCTGAACGAGGGAGGAATATATCAGTCCTTTTTGCTGTAAATGCAGCTGGACATTTCATTCCCCCAATGCTGGTATACCCTCGTGTAAGAATGACACCTCAATTGCAACGGAATGGACCTGTAGGGGCTGTATACACATGCTCATCAAACGGATGGAGCAATGAGACTATCTTCATCAATTGGCTTCACCACTTTGCAGCACATGCCCATCCTACCAAAGAAGACCCAGTTTTAATTGTTTTAGACAATCACAGTAGTCACGTGTCACTTGAAATTTTCAACTTCTGCAGACAAAACCATATCCACATGCTGTCCCTTCCTCCTCATACGTCTCATAGGCTTCAGCCGTTAGATTTGACATTTTTTGGCCCATTAAAAGGAGCTTTATACAGGGAGTATGATTCATATCTGACAAGCTCAGGGCACACAAAAATTACAGAGTACGACATTGCGGAGCTTCTCAACAAAGCGTTTATAAAGACTGCGACAATGAAAAATGGAATATCTGGGTTTGCTTCCTCTGGTATTGTGCCGTTTGACCGAAACAAGTTCTCTGAAGAAGACTTCGCCCCTGCCACAGTTTCTAATGAAGCAATAGTCGTTATGAGCTGTGAGACTCCTGACACCTCTAAGAAAACCGCTACCAGCGAAGTAGGCCTAAACGAATCTAGACAAGAAGACCAGTCCAAAACAAGTGGACCACTTTTCGATCCCTTTAAACCGTCAACGACAACTGGAACCCTTTTTGACCCCTCTAAGCCCTCAACATCAAGAGGACCTATTTTGGACCCCTCTAAGCCCTCAACATCAAGAGGACCTATTTTTGACCCCACTAAGCCCTCAACATCAAGAGGACCTATTTTTGAATCCTCTAAGCCCTCAACATCAAGAGGACCTATATTTGACCCGTCTAAGTCAACGTCACCAAATTCGTTTTTTGAATTTGCTCCAATTCCCAAAAAACCCAGACTTCCCAATGCCAGGAAAGTAGTTTCAAGGGAAAAGCAGCACTCAGAACTGCTTACTTCAACGCCAATGAAAATGAAGTTGGAAGTAGTTGCACAAAAACGACAGACTAACTTGTCAAAGAAAAAGAACAGGGAACTCAAGAAGGCTGCCAGAATGTTAAATATGGATGAAATAAAAACTGAAAAAGGTTCAAACAACAACAAAATGAAGCCGAAAAAACGAAAAAAGAAGGACACATCGGATGAGTCGGACATCGAAGAAGAAGCACCTCTCTTCCAAGATCAAGACGATGACATCATTGATCTCGTAGACCCCAACATTGTCGACAAAACAACTTTAGACATATGTTCCATATGTGGGGACATAGGCAAAGACAACGAGCTTTGGTATAGATGTGTCATGTGCTCGTCTTGGAGCCATTCAGAATGTACAGGATGGGATTCTGCCAAGGACTACATCTGTGACTTCTGTAAATACACATTTTAGAAAAAATGTTTCCTACACATGTTTTTTACAAATTTTTGAACAAATTTTTCCTATTAAAACTAATTTCCTAAAAATTAAAACTACTTAATACAGTACTTACTTGTTTTTTTTTATAATAAACATCATGTCATTGAATTTGGACTACTTTATTGTTTAAGTACCTAAGCTTCCACCACGCGCCCAATTACCCGACAGTATGCGCCCAATTACCCAGCGGTAGTGCAATTGGGCGCACATGCAAAGTTATATATTTTTATAAAAAAAAAAGAAAAGATTTATGAAACATCTTTCTTACAATAGATATAATGTACTAGAATAAATTAGCTATCAATTCATGATATTATTAACAGATTTGCTTTTAAAATGTCAAAGTTATAGTTGATTTAGGTTAGGTGCGCCCAATTCCCCCACTTTCCCCTACATTAAGTTTTTCTGCTACAGGGAAGGAAAAAGTGTATTATAGTAAAATAAAATATTAACAGGTTCAGTCCCAGCCGTCACACTCCTGTGTATGTAAAACGTGTCTCACCACACGGGAGTGAGTGTGTTAATAGTATAGTACCTATGAAATAAATAAATTGGCAATTTTTTTTAATTGAAATTGGGCATTTTAACATTTTAATCGTGGAAACAGGGAAAAAAATTTAAAAATTTAAAAAACCCTATGACTACCCAATTACAATTCGTCATCTTGATGGTTTGCAAACTTATACAAGTTTATCACACCCTACTTGTTTGGACATATATAATACAAACAAATTTTAAGGAATAAATGTTTTGGCCTCTGGGGACATTAAAATTATAAAGAAAATCGGCCCGGGTCGAGGTCTTGATGTGCCATCTGCGGTAATAAGTAGCTTCTTCCCTAGAGGGAAATTTGGTAAAAGATATATGTTTGACTACTAAACTGTGAGAAACTAAACAAAAGCACATATTTTTGGTGATTATGTTTGTATATTAATATCTTGACAAATTTTTTTCAACTTGCTAAACAACCCTTAAAAGTTTAAGGTGTGTTATGTGAAGCGAAGTTACGAGTTGCATGCATAGCAAAGTCTCAGGAATACAACTTCTTTGATCTCCGAAAATACTAATACTGAAATCTACAAAATAAAAACAATAAAGCTCAAGAAGTTAAGGGTATTAAGTATTCTGATATGCCTATGTAATTGGGAATTTTGTTTTTCAAACCTACTTGCCATACTGACAAGGGTCTCCCACGATGACATTAAGAGGCTCCATGGAGCTGGCTGGGGGAAGACTGTCCGTCCCATTCCAAAACTCTGGCTCAAAGGTAAGGTTGCTACTGTAACACCCTCCACCATCTGGTAGTATAGTTTGGTTTGGAGGGCAGCACTTGGGGACAACACACACTTCCTTTCCTTCTGAAACTTAACACATCACTTTACCATCAACCATCGCTTGATTAAAACTTAATTGATTACCAAAAATGGGTTTAGATAATTTTTTTTTGAAGACATAAAATGTCAATCGCTTTTGAAACACAAGTTAATAATGTAAACTTATGTGGCTTTAGAAACTGTATGAAACTAGTTTTTTTTTTTTTTTTTTTTTAGGGAGAAGTAGGAAAATGCATTTATGAACACAGGTGGCTAGCTTGTAGTGTGGGACTCCAATCCCAGAGACTACCCACTAAAAACCTCCTCTACTCTTCGGACACTAGCCTGGGAACACTTGTCGCACTTCATTAGAACTAGGCCAAGTTTGCCTACGCCCGAAGGGTTGATTCTGTGTCTAGCCGTTCATTTCTTACAAGATCTAGACTGTGATCCGATCTAGATTGTTCTTTTTCACTTGAAGGATATTCTGGACAATGTGTGACCATCAGCAGTCTCAGTTGTCCTCACCCTCCAGCAAGGTCTCGCAAATCGATTTAACCAACAGCACCCCAAGATGTTGAGTGGCCTCCTGGCAGAGCATATCCCATTGTGGACAGCAGAATAAAGTGTGTTCTGCATCGTTGGGAATACATGGGCAGTAAATACAGTTGGTGAATTCATTTTTGCCATCAAGTGCAGGTACGACTGAAAATAGCCGTGACCTGACAAGAACTGCGTGAGATAGTAGTCAACCTCACCGTGCCGCCGTTCCACCAATGGTTGGACCTGTCTGATGAGTCTGGCAACTAAAGTTTGAAGAGCTATAGCAGTATTTAATAATAAAGTCAGAAGAAGGTCCCTAGTTTATATGGTATTCAAATTAACTGAGATATATTCTCCTGACTTGCAGACTATACTGCTATGGAGAAATAATGGTTCAAATCAAAATATATAGGCCCTACTGTTAATTATATGTTGAGAAAAATCCCAAAACCTATAAAGTGTTTTATAAGTTCTAATATCTTTTTTAGGAAGCATCTTTGACAATCATGCTGGTTCGCAAATTCGTTCCAATAAGAATAAACCCAGGTTTACACATTTGTACTGAATTTTATCAAAATCAGATAATTTTTGCTCGAGTTATTGTGCTAACGGGTGCAAATAAACAAACACACATCCTACTAATATTATAAATGAGAAAGTTTGGATGTTTGTATGGATGTTTGTGACAAGTAAACACGAAAAATACTGGTCGGATTGGGCTGCAATTTGGTGTGACCTTTGGGTGATACCTCACATTTCCGATTAACATATAGGCATATTGTTATCTCAATGCTTTCAGGCTCCGCCCCAGTGGATCTGGAGTTTCCCATGTTAACCTTATAAGTATTCATTGACATTTAAAAGGAATTAAATAATTTTTTTAGCTGATTCGACCAAACAAGTTGGTTCTATGATATTATTCAATAGCATTAAAAAGTTATATAAGGCTTACCAACCGGGTGCAGCACTATTATATTTTTTTGAAATCATGAAGCTCATTTGAAGTAAGCAGCATAAAAAATCTGTGATGCACAATGAGGACTATTAAAGTAGGATTGTTTACAGTAAGGTTTATGTTTTTAATTTAATACATAGTTTGTGATATTGTGTGAATATTTGATAATTTACTTTTTATATTGTTTAGGTGCAGTGGTAGAACAGAATGGCTATAGTAGATGTGTAATACTATACTGTATATACTATACTATATCATATCTGTAATACTATAGCATACCGTAAATATAAAGAACCAAATTCTCTCAAGCCTTATCCTCCCTCATTGCGAACGCAAAGCTATAGTATAACTGCAATAAGCATTTTGTACTTATACGCCAACCCGGGTACCCGGGGAACGGGTACTCTGCTATATATAAATACATATTCTACAGTAATAGCTTATTCCCTATATGGGAAATTTGCTAAAAGGTTGGCACTAAATAGTAACAAGACGTGGGTTTGGACAGTTGCCTTACACAAAGAGTAAACAATGGCAGAGAGCATAAAAAAACACCATAAACACAACATTGTACTACGAATACCTAGGTTTGCTGCTATAAGGAACACAAGAGCGTGCTTTTGTTGCAAAGAAGGCCATGAAATAAATAAATTTCCAAAATGTTATAATGATATATTTACAGAAATCAATTCACATTAATTGGTTTTACCCTTCATAAGGATAATATGGGAGACAAATTCTGTGTTCCCAATTTTTAGTGGCTAATAGGAAAGAATAAAAGTGTAATATAGTTCTACAGAAAAAGGAATTTAGACACAGCCTTATGCTCCCCCCCCCCTTTACGTACCATCTTTACGTACTGTAAATGAGGCTGGTGTCGTAAACCCACTGAAATACAGCATTTTTATACATTTAATGAAAACAGAAAACTTTATCAGAAACTCAACATAACATTGTGCAACGTATTGTGCATTTGAGCAAATATCAATTCAACAATTAGAACTCACACCTTTTAGTTACAAGATTATTATGGCGAATATACAGTAATAGCTGATTCTCTGTTATTCCTTATACAGTAACAAGTTACCTACTGTTTTTTACAGCAATTTAAAAACTTACTGGTACTAGTCAAAAGCTCTCTCAAAAAAATTACACATAAAATATAATGATACAGTATCTTTGTTCTGATGGTTCACTTGTTCTAATATCCTTAAATAATCATTATTAATCCGTTTTCAATTATTGTTATTGAATTATTTTTCAAATGGTTATTAGATAAAAGATAGTCACATAGACTGATATAAAATTACTTGAAAAGGGCTACAGACTGCAGATGCTTTAGTCTCAACCAAGAACAGGTAAAACCAAAGTAACAGTCATCAGCTGGTTCTCTCAACTATTCGAGAGTGTAAGAGGTGAGTGCAGCTTCTGGGAAGACCTCCATCAATGAGTGCAGGAACCAGGAGCTGTTTGTTCAACCATTAGCAGCACAAATACAACACATTTGCATGTGACTCCCCCTCTGCTACTGCTGGTATAGGAATGTGGATTGTTCCTCACAGTTATTGAGTACATAAACAGTCTCTCTTAGTATTCATTTAAAATTATAATTTCTTGAAGAGGCTGTAAACAATTATGTCTACTCGATGAAACCACCTCAACATTTATTTTTAGAGCCTTGTGTAGATTACTGTTTGCCTATTTGTAAATTTGTGAATTTGACTATATAGACCCATTGTCAATTATTTGATCAATAACCAACTTTGAGTTTTAATAGTTGTTATAGCTGTGTAAGCAATTGCCTAGAGATAGTGAAACTGAGTAGCTTTATAATCAAACACAATTCAATATCCGTACAATTTAATCAGAATGTATCAGGCGGGTAAGAGCCAATCTTGTCCAATATAAATGGAGACAAGATCAATTTAATTTGTGTTTGTGTTACTAGAAAATGTGATAAGATATGACTGACATAATCAACAAAATTAAGCTTTCATAAGTTGTTGATAAACATGTGATCCATCATGATCATGTTCCTGGTAGGAACAACTCTGGGAGGACACAACAGCAACAATGTTATCTCATAACTACGTAACATATTATTCGTAAACATTTTAGTCATCGTTATAACCAATTACTAGTGTACCTGTTGCTTGAATTCGAGCAATTGCGAAGTATTTCAGGAGTTATTTTAAAACGAATAACGGTAATAATTTCCGATGACTTTAAAAGAGTCGACTCAAAGATTATGGAAATACTCACGATGTACATAACAGATCGATATAATCAACAATTCTTGTAATTATATCTTATCATTGTTCAAAAGCTGATCTTGTTTTTTAGTGTTTCCTACACATATTTCCCACTCATAGCTGCATTAGGTTGTCCATAATAACGATTATAAATTCTAAAAAAAAACATTATTTCTATTTCATCTACTTGGTGGTGTTCTATGACTTTCCTATGTTTCCATAGTTTGCAAATCGGCTCTTTTAATGATTGCTCAAGAAATGCAGCACAGTGTTAATTCAGTTTTCTTTTTAGTTTATCAAATAGTCCAGGCTTTCTCGCTTTTTTCCATTGTAATATTTACACCAACCCAAATTCAAATAGTAAATATTTAATTTCAACCAAGTCAGTAAATGTTTGTAGAGCAAGTTTCCTTAAATTGCAACTAAAATGTTAACAGCAATTAAATTATCCAGCTGATCATAATGTAAACAAATATGTTCTTCATAAGGATAACATGGGAACTTAAAAAGCCACTGGGCCACAGCCCAAGGGACTTATTAAAAAATGTAAGGTCAGTTTGCTAATCTACACACCACACACACCTAGGCGAACATTTTGGTATCTAATATGTAGGGTTATAAATCTTAAAACAAAAAACCCTTATTGTTCACAAAGTGTTATGTAGCGTATTAATAATATTCACAAAGATTCATGTAGCGTATTAATAATATAGATTAGGCTACGGTAATGACTCATTTTATATACAAACTATTTAATTTCAAAGTAATTACACCACTGCAAAGGGGTATAATAGTAGACTCTCTTAGGCAAGTGTTTCTTTTAATAACTCATATCTTTGACTAAACAAAAGTCAATGCTTATATTAAAATAAATAAGTACAACCAAAAATTGCTTATATGCATTAATTTGTGTGAAGAGTGTCCACCACTACTCGTTTGGATAAAATAGCTATAAACTAATAAACTACATGGACATAACACGGTAAGCACCGCGAAGAAGACAAAATGATGAACATTGACTGAACTACACAGGTATCCGTTCCTGACTAATATTGGCTTGTTATTTAACCATACTGTAATTTATTTATTGAAAGCCCAATGATTAACGACAGCTTGGTCAAATGTTTAACCTTCAAAATATATTTCTGTCTTTTTCATGTTTGAACTAGTGACCTTTTTATTATAAATTATCTTGTGAAGTCTAGATATTTACATAGTTACAACAAAGAAACTGGTTTGATTGCTATGTCTATGGTTTTAGCAATATCGGAATGGCAGGCAGACTTTTTCTCCGTTTCTCATTCTCAATGAATGATTCAGAAGGTGAGACAGTAGATTGGCTTTTCTTGCATTCCTCTCTAGTTTTCTCAAAAACCCTACTACTTCAAGAGCCAGTCACTCTTGTGCACATGCCAATTCCTTTATCTCTATATTTACTGAAGATAAAGATAGATAATTACAATTCCTGATATGACAAGCTTAGATAAGACCAACCCTCATGAGACAGTGGAACTTCCTCTAATTTTACTGATTAATCCATAACTAATTTTATGATGGTTCTACATATAACATTTACAGCTATTTGCAGTGTTTTACTTTTTTATTTTTACTGTGGGTAGAATTTTACTTACTTTTGCCTGAAGGTGTCAAATGTAATGGTGTAAAAATATTAAAGGTGTCAAGGCTGATTATAAAATTAATTTAGTTTTACTTAACTTATTTATCATCTTGAGAAACCAGTAGTATGTGCCTCAAAACCATAATAAACAGCAGATTCAGGTTGTACATGTAAACACCGCAAACCTTAAAACTGGTTAGTAAACTTGTTTGTGTTTAATACATTTGAAATCATGTAAAAAGAACTCATTATTTTATTACCAAGTTTTATTGTAAAATCCTAAGTTTGTCAAAGTCAAAGTCAAAACATTCAATCGTTGTTTTGTAGCGTTAGTACATTGAACATGCGTAATTTCTTAAAACTAATCCTTATAATTAACTAATACAATTTCTGCCAAAATATTTCCTTTAAGGAAGTTGACAATCCAATAAATCTACTTCAAATTCAATAATTTAACTAAACAATTTATATTTCAACTGTTCTGCCGTTTTACTTATGACTGTAAGTTTACAAGAACAATATTCTTTATTGGATGGAAAGCAGTTTTTGAAGAATCGAGTCGTTAAATGAGGACTTATTTTTTGAAACTAGTTTAAAACTCGACTTATGTAGAATGTTTTACTGACTCCCAAATTTATTACACTATTTTGATATGAAGGTAATTAATTACAGTTTTAACTGTGAATTATGATAAAGTTTTGTTTGTAAGGGATCTCCCTAAAAATTTAAGATTACACAATGCTCAATAATAAGAACCTTAACTCCTTATTAGCCTACATATTACCATCACCTGCATATGTTTTACCTAGAGAAAACAGGTTTCTTTACAACTGAAAAATATTTAAGGTATATTTACATAGTAACATATATTAAGTATACATAGTAGGTATATTTAGTATTGATGTACATATAGCAAACAACTGGTTGAAAATTAATAATTCTAACAACTGATTTTATGAAATTAATGATTGTTGTATGAATTAAACTATTTATTATCAGTGTTTGAACAAGTAGTGTTTCACAGAAACCCAGGGTTCTTTGACAAACTAGCATATATTTAGCCAAAAAACAAGTAAAAAGTAATTTTAGGTAGTTGATGCAAGAATCTTTTAAGCATATTTCTCGATAGGGCAATAGTTAGACTAATACCATTACATTTATGGTGCTTGATTGATTAGTCATTCATTTTAGGGTTCCCATAAGCAAAATAAATGTATTCTTTGAAATTTGTACATAAATGTAGGCCATGTAGGCACAAAATCTCTGATAAAAATTAGTAGGCTCTCTTCCTTCTTTGAAAAATCTTTGTATGCATGTTTGTTGCAAGAGGGCTATTTAACTCAGAGATATAGATGTAGAGATATAGATGAAATAGAGGTAAATTCAAAAGTATATAATGACCCTACGGTTATATGTCACACTCTTAATGATTTTTATGTCAATGTAGTTGATTCTGATGTAATTCCAAAAATAAATACACCAAATTTACTAGTACCTAATTTAGTATTAAATAACCAACAAAATAAATTTAGATGTGAACCAATCAGTGAGACAGATATCAATAAAATAATTTCCAAATTTGATAATAAACTATCATCAGGCTTCGACGATGTTCCCATAACAGTAATAAAGCATGCCCAGAGTTCACTTAAAAAACCATTTGCACACTTGGTAAATTCACCATTTATATCCGGCATATTTCCAGATAAATTAAAAATTTCTAAAGTAAAACCTCTTTATAAAAAAGGGGACCAAACTAGATGTTTCAAACTATCGCCCAGTAGCCTCGTTACCTGTCATGTCTAAAATTTATGAAAAAGCTATGTATAATCAGCTCGTTAACTTTTTAGAAAGTAATGATCTACTCGATAAAGAGCAGCACGGTTTTAGATCAAACCATTATGTAATATCAGCGGCTGCTACATATATTGAGTCAATAATAAATTCAGTAGATAGGGGAGATAAAGTAATTGGAATATTTATGGACCTAAGCAAAGCATTTGACAGTGTATCTCATCATAAATTATTTAAAAAATTGGAAGGACTAGGGGTTATAGGAATTTCACTAAAATGGTTTCAATCATATTTAACTAACAGGAAACAGTTTGTAGAAATTACACACTTAAACAATCATAACCAGATGGTTAAAACAAGATCGCAGTTGAGAACAATTAAACATGGTGTACCACAGGGTTCTATTTTGGGTCCCCTACTATTTCTTACATATATCAATGGATTACCCAATGTTATTTCAAATTCAATAATGAATACCATCTGTTTATATGCCGATGATTCTAATCTTCTTGTAAGCGGAAAATCTGTTCATGATATAGAAAAATCTGCCATCGATAACTTGATGAACATCAATAACTTTTTTTCAGATCATCAGCTATTACTAAATCTTTCCAAAACTAATTTTACACGCTTTAATCTAAAATTTAATACCAATTCAGATTACCCAGCACTAAAATTAGCTGGTGAAGGTATACAAATTGTTGAGAACACTAAATTTCTAGGATTATACATAGACAGTAAATTAAGCTGGAATGATCATATTGATCATGTGGCAAATCGAATGTCAACAGGCCTATTTGCACTTTATCGATTATCAAAATTTTGTAAACTTGAATCCCTAAAATTGGTTTATTTTGCTCATATTCACTCACATTTATCCTTTGGTATAAGTATTTATGGAGGAACATCACAAGCTAATTTAGACAGAATTTTAATTCTCCAGAAAAGAGCAATACGCATTATGTTAAATTTGGATTGGCAAGATTCTGTTAGGGAAAAATTTGAAGAACTAGGCATAATGACTGTATATAGCTATTAAATATATCAATGCATATTATATACTGTCCAAAATTCAAATAATGTCTCACTGGTAGGGGATTCTCATCAATACTGTACCAGAAACAGAAATAACTATGCAACACCTTTCCATAGATTAAGATTTTTTGAAAAAAACCAATGTATATGGGTATAAAATGTTACAATACTCTTCCAACAAAATTAAAGGACTACACAAGGACTACAAAATTTAAAAATAATCTAAAAATGTACTTTTTAACCAATCCCCTGTACTCAAAGAATGAATATTTCCTCCTAGATAATATATTAGAATAAGAACTTTTTCAATAGTGATTATATCTTGTACTTTTTTGGGATTAAGCATTGTGATTTTGATGTGCACATGTTTGCAAAGTATGAATAAAGTTGATTTCATTTCATTTCATATAGCAGCAATAACAATAACCCAAATATTTTATAGGATACACTGTTTATTTTTTTACCATAAAATTTGTATACAAAAAAAATTCTACATTAACACTGCCAAGTACTGTTTTCCAATCTATTGTTAAAATGTTTCTACTTTACGTAAGTCTAAAGTATTTTTTCCCGAGTAAGGAGTTAGCAGTTAGCAGGTACTGTACACCTAATGATTCATCACAGAATGTTAACCGGCTATATTCACTGTTCACCAGAAATGAGAGTTAGAAACTACTTCAGTTGACTGATACTAGAGATGAAAGTAATCAGTACCTGTAGTGTAAAACTATCAATCAATATTACTGTAGTTAATATGGATTCAACCTAAACACTAAACTGGAGAATACGTTTTGATACATCAAATTCATTAACTAACAAAGTAAAAAAAAAACTGTATCGGTAAAAAATTATTTTTAATATGATTTAAAGAACGTCAAACTAGACATGACATACTGACTTGTTTAACGTTCAAGTAGAAAAAGAAAAATTATAATTTAAAAACTTAACTAATTGCATTCAAGTTTTTTTTTAAACAAGTTTCCTCCTATTTCATAAAATTGATATTCAATGCATTAATTGTCTTACAACGGTGAAAGCTGGGGCCCCATTGTTATGAAATAATTAGATTGTTATGACATAAATTGATTTTTATACTAAGTTACAGTTTCAATTTGAATACAGTAGGCACAAACACATAGATAAGTTGAACATAATTATCTACTTTGAACAGCCCTTATTTTTTGACACTAATTAAACCAACTACATACACAAATGTATTTTTGTTGTATTAAAAAACAATGATTGATTTTTCATGTATTGGAACCATGAAATAGACATTTAGATTTTGACACAATACATTTATGACACAAGTCGCTCAGAATCAAATAATAAAATTACTATAACTAGAACCATAACAAAACAATAGGTCGTTAAATCATTTTGCTGTATTAAGTATTTAACAAAAAAATCTCACCCGTAAGCACGGCCAGGCAGATTGAAACCACTACAGGTGACAAATCCATATTGGCACAGACACACAGCCAGACTGACTCTGACACACAGCTAGATAGACAGTGCCTGCCTGAGATAAGAGACCTGTAGGTGAGTGCGGGGGGGGGGGGGAGGGGGGCTGATGAGATATGGACTATTGTTTGGATCAGATATTTCACAGGTTACTCCATGCAGGCCCACTTTGTAAATGGGCTGACTGGGGGGTAACTATACCCAGAGTGCTAAATTTCCAAAAACATTTTTAAGTGCTGTTCTGACCAGTTTGCTACAAAGAAATTCAAAACACAAATTTTAGTCATGATATTAAATTAACCTCCAACTAGAGTTAAAACATATTAAGTTATTTTAAACAACCTACTTCAATATTAAGATTGCAGTACAATTCAAAATGTTTATCACATTAAAAGCACACAACTTTGATATAGGTCTCGCTTTTTTCACATTATAGACATCCCAAGAACAAAACCACATGAGCAGAAACAAAAAGATCAGGTGGTTCGCGCCGGTAGGTGTGGCGTAGCCTTCAAACCTGCGCGGCTCGAAATCACCCAGACTAACCAACACAAGTAGACTTCTCGTTCCATTGTAAATTTTGAAGCTCAATTTTCGTGTTAAGTTCATGTACGGTGACATGGGGTGCTAGTGTCGACAAAATTTTGTTCCTATTATTTTAGGGTTAATTTCATGATTTGTGCTTCACTGTTTGGTTATATGACTCTGACGAGTTATTGTTTATGATTAGATTGTTTTATTTGGTTAAACAAAGTTTTAAATGACCGAAATAACAAGAAACAAATTTTCAACAAAAACAACCTCTAGATTGCACCGTACAGAACTAAAAATAAAATTGGCTTCAGCTGTTCCATAAAGATGAGAAATCTACACAGGGACTATGTTTTATTTGTGACTAAACTGATGTGATGAGATTGGACTTTAAAATGGGTTTCAGTTTCAATCTATGAAGGCTTTGTGGGCTAGCCAGAGTCAGTATAAACAGTCCAGGATAACATGCTCTCTTCAGACCAACGGGATGAAGTGTAAAAGGTTAAGAATTTAGATTTTTGGTAATGGATTTGTGATGAGAGTTCATAAGTAACGGACCGGAAGGACAAGAAATCAAACAGGTCAATGGAAAATATAAAATATATTTTTAACAGCAAATATTTTAACAGAAAATAAAAAAGTGATACAGAGAATATAATTATCTAAAACCTTATTCAATACATAACATACCTTATAACACCCCCTGATTATTATGTGTCTTGAAATTAAGTAGTATACTTTATACACGTTAAGATTTTTAAAATAAATTAACCGTCTCAGCAATCTGACACATACTTTCTCCCATTAGCTTGTCACAGCCTTAATCATTGGAAAGAAGTTGTACTAACCATAATATTTATTTTACAGAGAAAATAAAAAAAGTTGCAATATCTTTTGAACCGTAACTTAAATTTAACACCAATCCTGTACTATATTGTTTAGTTTAGAATAAGGACCATAACATACTAATTTTAATCCAAATACATTTTTTGTCTAAAATCTGATTTTCCGTTATTTTATGGGGTTTTATGGGAAAATTACATAAATTACAATAACTTTTAAACGGTATTTTGTACAGCAATGGGGGATTGCACTTTTTTTATTAGAGGGCCATAAAAACTTATTTTAATCAAAACCGTTTTTTCCCCGATTTTTAGTTATTTTATGGGAAAATAACATGGGTCCGTAGGTCTTATGGTAACAACAATACCCTGGACCACTTTGTTTTTTTATGTCCCCAGAGGCCAAAAAAACATACCCAGCCAACATTCACATACAGCAGAATTTCAACTATCCAAACCATTTGAATCGCCAATAATTATCTGAATTGCTTTCAGAAAGACTTTAAAAACCTTAAAACCATAGTAATAAGAATCTTAATTAAAGAAGGCAGAAGCCATTATCATAGCAAAATCCAGAACCTCTCTCGCGGTCTTGTAGACATCATTATTGTCTCCTTCGGGTCACGGAATATTCTCATAATTTCTTGCAATCACAACTTAATCTTTTAAATCTTCCATGTAATGGTCAATATTGCTGATTATAGGTTTGCATTTATTGATTTAATTATCTATTTTATTTTATGTGACATTCCTATGTAAAAAATATCACAGACCCAGTATGTGTAGCTATAACACTTTGTAGAGAGGCAACAGGTGCATAAAATAATATATATTATTAAATTATAATATTTAATTCAAAACTACTAACTTTGTAATTAGGAGAGGAATCTGTTACCATTACATACTTTAAAGAAGTTAGATCCCACATACCAGCAACAAATTTAACAGTGATTTAGGGTAAATTACAAGTACAACTAAGCATAAAACTACTTCTACTCAAACAAAAAACTAGAAACCTGTAAAGCCTTTGGAATGTGATTGAAATGAAATAGTCAGTCTCTGCTCATGATAACCAGTATAAACTTTTTTGTTTCCTATTATGACGAACTAAACTGGGACTATTGCATAAGTTTCCATCAACTTACATTTCTTTGATTATCATGCAGTATAACTACTGTTATTATTGTAATATTATTTGTCTCTCATGTTATGCTTAGAAGTAAATGAAAGATTACACTTTATACACAACTTTAAATGTTTGAGTTCCTTTCTGTCTATGATAATCACAAACAAATTTTCTGAGAAAAGGTTTCATCACCGTACCGTAATTTAAATCTACTAAAAAGTAAAATTAAACCATGTCTCTACACAGGATGCTACTGCTACATCACATTGAAGAAATCAAAGTAAAGCTCAAACTGACAACAAAAGTAAACAGTTTAATGATAAAATCCAGGGACAGCCCTGGGGTAGAAATAAGCTCAATAAAATGGTTACTGTATTATCTTAAACAAAACAACCAACCTCATAGTAATTAAACCAATAGTGGCTAGTGGCTGAGCATCTCCTTATAACTTAGCAGTCAAACTGTGGGAGTCGGAATACTTTGTGATGAACTTATTAACTCTTTCCATCACAACAGAGTAGTGAGGTTCAAGATCACTTCGTACTCTCTCCATATAGGCTTTCAAAATTGGCCGGTCCTTGCCTGGGTCATAGCCTGCCATTCCTAGTAAAGACGGAAAGGTTTTAGTTACTGGCGAACATAATGTTGGAAAAAATAATCATTTTTTCTTTGGAATATGAAGTACCTTAAGGTTCTTTTCATGAAATTGTGGTGCACAAATAGATGTTTTTAAGTCCAGTAATAACAAAACATTAGAATGGTTAATAGGTAAGATGCTAAGTGCATATTAGTTGTCAACTGAGCTTTAATGCTCTTTTGACTAAGATAATGTATTTGATTCCCTTCATTCAGGAAAAGACTTAAAAAATCTGTACATTTAGAATGGAAAGATTGGTTTCCTAAGAGGTGATCATACTTCTGCAATAAAGAAAACAGGTCCTGTGCATAGTTAGTTTTCATTTTAAAACATCTAAAGATACCTAATGTTTTATTTGCTTAAACTTTGATACAAACCTTTATGAGTTAGTGTTTTCTCTAACAAGATGTCTGCATTAATAATAAAAAAATATAATGGAACTTTAAATTTAGCGTGCATTATTATCAAAAGGTTTTCAACATGAAGAGAAGTTGTTAAACATATTAAAAGATGGACAAGACAAAAAGTAAATACAACAAGGGAGATGTTTGATTGCATAAAAACAACAGGACTAACAGACATGGGCTTGAAGGCCTTGCCAAACTGATATTAGTTGCTACTGCCCACGGATGGTAGCATACAAACATTTTACCGCAAGCCATACCAAGTATCATGTCCAGCACAAGCAATGTGATGGCACTGGAATAGCCTTGGCCACACTGTTGAGGCTCGACTACACCACTGTGATAGTCTAGCACACGGATGTCCTGTGTGACAAGTTCCTTTTGTTAAAACGATGAGCTCCACATCCCCTGCGGGAGGGACCTCGTGTGGCATGACCTTAATAAAGCAGATACCGTATTCAAATACAACATATGACAATTGAAAAATGTTATCTCTGGTCTTAACAAGGAGTTCTCCTGTTCACCATTAATAAGAAGCATACTTTTCAGTTCACTATACAAATTTTGTAATATCGTGACTTTTAAACAAAGAGATTGTTTTTTGTCTCTTTAAAAAGAGAATGATTGGATCAAAATTTTAAGTAACACCTATACCTAGGCAATATAGAAAAAAATACATGACCCCGTGAGCTAACACCATCCACTTACAGTATTCAAATCAACATGGACAAACCAGAGTTGACAATATTAGAACAACTGAAGTAACATTTTGTTGAGCAATGATCAAATTAGGCCTAACATTTTGTTGAGCATTAACCAAAGTGACATTTTAATCTGTTAAGAGGAGAGACTACGTAAAATAGGCCTAAACCGAATGTTATTTATTATAAACTAGCAGTTACCCACGGGCTTCACCCCGTTTGACTTCATAAGTATTAATGAACAAACATTCATGAAATCCGTTCAAACAAATAAGTACAGCTGAGGTATTTTAACATTAGGTATGGAAAGTAGGGATGGACGGGATTGAATTTTTAGTTCGGGACGGGACGGGACGGGATTTTTATTTCCTTCCTGATTTTCGGGACGGGACGGGACGGGATTTTTTTCTGTGCATAAAAAGAAAGTACTGTATTGCAGTTACCAAAAAAGACATACGAAATCAATTTTTTACCATTTGTGGCACTGATCTATAAAAACCAAAAAATGGGAAACAATTTACAGGTACCTATAGAAACTTGTGACTCGCGGGTCATGGGGTGATCGTCTGTATGACTCACGGTCAACGGTCATGGCGCGATCGTCGTCATGACTCGCGGTCACGGCGCGATCGTCGGTATGACTCGCGGTCACGGCGCGATCGTCGGTATGACTTCGCGGTCACGGGGTTATCGTCGGTATGACTCCACGGTCACGGCGCGATCGTCGTCATGACTCGCGGTCACGGGGTTATCGTCGGTATGACTCCACGGTCACGGCGCGATCGTCGTCATGACTCGCGGTCACGGCGCAATCGTCGGTATGACTCGCGGTCACGGCTCGATCGTCGGTATGACTCGTCGGTCGTCGGTAGGACTCCGCGGTCACGGCGTAATCGTCGAAATGACTTCGTCTCCTGCGTTCGCGGACCTATCGCTCGCAATAACGGCGTTATCGGCACTCGCGAAGCGGAAAAATCGCCGACGATCGGACCAAATCCCGTCCCGAAAAATTCCCAAGTCAAATGTAATCCCGTCCCGATAATCGGGAATATTTTTTTCCCGAAAAATTCCCGAAATTTCGGGACCCGTCCATCCCTAATGGAAAGTCCCCTTTAGAAAGGAATTACGACCTTAAAGGGCAATTTATGAAATAATGCATAGTTTTGGGCAAGGGTTCTCATCAGGACGAACATTTAAGTATATGGTTTATGAGGGTGTGACTAGTTTTCTCAAAAGTTCATGCACACTTTGGGATTTATAAAAGGATTGATTGCATATGTGTCATAGTTTCATTTTTGTCCAACACATCTTAATTAAGCCTGGGTAACTTACTTTTGTTGTCCTAATACAAAAATTGTCCATTTTATTCAATTGTTGTCTTGTCTGTCTTTTAATATTTTTAATAGAGGTTCTTCAATATACGGAATAACAAAAAAGTCTGGAAACGGCTTAATATCTTTTTGACTAAATTTGTTAGAATGTTAAAATCTTTCACATCAACTTATATGTATAAAAGCTATTTTTTGCAAGAATTGCCATTTTTTCCTCTACCAGGGGACGACCCATGAGGAGTAGGTACATAATCTTTAATGTAAGCATAAGTGATATGCACATTATTTTAAAGGGCTTGTAAAGTGGAGTTCATTGCCAGAAACTGGGTCTCAAAAAGTTAATCCATTACAAAACTGCCTAGGTATTTTCTGCAAGAACTTTGGACAGCCGCCATTCGTAACGGATGAAACTTCTGAGACGTAGTTTCCAGCAAAGAACTCTACTTGACAAGCCCTTTAAAATGATGTGCATATCAACATATGCTTTCATTAAAGATTATGTACATACTTCTCATGGGTCATCCCCTGGTGGAGGTAAAAAAATAGTAATGCTTGCAAAAAGTAGTTAACATACACATAAGTTCATGTGAAAAATTTAAGTTTGCTAATACATTTTGTTGAAAAACTATTAATCCGTTTCCAGACTTTTTGTCACCCTGTATAAACAATTAAAAATAAATTTAAAATATTTACTAACTCGGCTGATCCAGTTCACACAGACCCAATAAGTCTGCAATGCTGATTTTGTCACCACACAAGTAGTTACGATCCTTCAGCCAAACATTGCACAGCTGATCAAGCACTACTTGCATCCCATTGTAATAAAACTTGACGAGTTTCTCATCAGCTGGCTTGCCAGACATTACGGGTCTTAGTACCTGCAACATTCAATGTGAAGAGCTGTGTTCTGGTGAGGTTTATCTGCTACAACAGTCTAGACTCTCAATTCAGACAGTATCCTATATTAATATGAATAATGTTTGAATAATTGTTACATCAATCTCAGAATTGGCACCAAGAAATGCATTTATACTTACGTTATAACTAAATTCTGCGTCAAAACAAGTTCTAGACCAAAATTGGAAAAATCTATTTTCCCCATGAAGCGTTTACATGATCCAATTGCGCAATTTACTTGTACAAACCTGGTTTGTACAAACCATATAATTGTTCAAACCATCGTAACGTGTAAACGGCAGATTTGTGGAAGCTATTGATTTGGGAGTGAGGTTGAAAGGTTGATGAAAATTTTCATCAACCTTGCGATCAGATTGGAAGGTTTGAGCGACGGTTTTTTGTGTAAACGGATGTTCATGCTATTTTGCTCAAACCTAGGCCCAATAGTCTACTGGTGTTTCCATCCCACACATCAGTCAGTTTCACTGTATGCTGCTGTACCCTAGGAAGACAAAGCATCATGGCGGAGTCTCAAGAATTTTTAAACGATTTCATTGAACTATACACCGTAGTTTTCCTTACCCGTGGCACATCAAAAGTAATAACTACTCTGATTGCAACAAGAAAGATCTTGCTTACGAGGAAAGTAAGTAACGACCCAAAATCCCCCAAGGGATAAAAATCTGTTTTTTTTAAGTTTTATTTACAGTAGTTTATTATAATTTTCTACGTTCAAAGTAAACTGCCCCCACGTTGGCAAAGTCATCAAAGGAGTAGGACAAGAGGGGTTCGACATCATGGTAGAGGGGAGGACGCTAATTAGCTACCCCGGCAGTGGCGAAGAACAGCCAGAGGAGCTCATCTCAAGATCATTTGACCACCCGTCACAGAATCGTGACCACGAGCTCTCTGTTTGGAGACTAACACAGCAGTCTACCTTACGATAATTTGGTGAGTTCAAAATATTTTCCCCTTGGTGGTGGAGTTTTCAGGCGTTAGGCTTAGTGTGCTACCGAGTTTATTTATTTTAATCTCATTTTTTGAGAAGATTTATTATAATTTAATTTTACTGAGCCAGTTGTTCCGTGTCCCGTGTGAGCACACGTCCTTTTGACTCTAACCAGCATCGAAAATCATTTTAGTTACCAGAACAATGTACGCAGAATTTATTTAACTACCCTGAACAGGCTTACGATAATTTAATCTAAGAAACGCCGTATTGACTCTGATGTTCAACCAAATTTATTTTCCCGGCACCTTTACTTTGGTATTAACCAAGTACAACGAACGATTCACGCTTTATTTAAGTTTCTAAATTAATTGCGGTGTATTCATTCCGTAATTTATTAGGATATAGTTCATAAGGATATAACTCATTCTAAATTCTAAATTCGATCTCAACTCTTATACTGAGTGGCTATAATGATCATCAATCAGACATTGATGATCATGTTAAAGGTAATTTAAACATTGTTAGCATTGTTGTTGTGTTTATTCTGAGCCAATGATCTCCAAACGATAATTAATCTACTAACACGTTAGAATCCTGGACTGTCTCATTGTGGGTTATCTGGACAAATTTGAAGGTGTGACTAATTTTAGGTGAGACGAATATTACGCATTATTTCATGAAACCACAATATTAAAATTAATTTGGTCTCTACCCGGAATTTTGTCACAAGTAAGTGAAATTTAACACCAATCGTGAAATTGTGGTTAAAAAATTAACTCTTAATTTAGTTTTTCCCTTTATTAAGTTTAACTATTATCACTAACCAAACAGCATACACAGACCACAACAGCACCTCCTTCAAGGCGATCACAAAAGGTACTGGTGTATGCAAATCAAAAGAAGGTTTGAGTCAAATATCGTAGCGTCTAAGCGGTCATGCCTATCCAAACTTGGTTTGCACAAACTTGGTCTAGCAAACCAAGTTTGCAAAAATATTAGAGTGGGTAAACGCGTTCTTATCAAGTATCAACTAAAATTAAAATTTTAACAGATAAAAGATAAGACTACAAAAGATTTGGATAAATTACATTGACCAAAGACTGAGCAAAGCTCGGTCCCGTGGTACTTTATTTAATCTGAAGGTTCTTGGTTCAATCTCCAGCTAGGTGGTGTTGGGTTCTGGATCCACAACCATTTGTCATTCGGCTATCAATTATAGATGCTACGTAAACACAAATGCTTAAAATATAATAAGCAAGGATGCTTTAAAGCCTTGTATGTAGTACGTATCAGAACCACACTTCTCTTGAGGCCACTTAGTAAAATGTTCATATAATCTTAACATCATTAAGAAGGTTGGATGATAAGCCACCTTATACTGGAAGTACATAGCACAAAACAGCCTGGTATTGAGGTGTTGCCATTCAAGGTACTCGTCTACTCTGGCCTGTAGCTGGCTGTCTTGAGGATACCAGTGGTCTGGTACATTGAGCTCCCGGCAGATGTAACGTAAAATAGCCACACTGAAACAAAGTTATTTTATAAATATAGATACATCATCGACCAAGGAAAGTTTTAAGCCAAGATTTAAGATTGGCTGTCGGCTAGAACTAATTCAAAAACTAAAGCTTGCTTTATGATTACAGTTAGTTTATCAGACATTAATAGAAACACAGAAACATAGAAACACAGCATTGAGGAAGAAAACTTGCTGCTTGAATTCAAGTTAATTGCAGTAAGATTATTAGAGTTGTCTGAAAACTTTATAGGAGTATAAATATCTCTAATTTTGTCGTGAAGGTTCACGTAAATTTCTGTTTTCTGTGTCAACTGATTCCTTCTAATGAATGCTAAACGTTCTCCTTAATTCATTCAAATGAACATGTCTGTAATATATTGCACCCAAGCTTTTTCAGATGAAGAACTGAAAACAATTAATTGTTGCCTTACTGATAATCTGTGTAAAGCAAATTGAAGTTGGGTCACTTTGTTTCTTTGAGCAGTAGCTCATTCTTCGATTTGAGGCATCCCCTCAACAAACTCTTCTCTCCGCACGGAAAAAGTAGATTATATATAAGTCATCATACATTGTTCAATTGGCCTAGCGCTATAACTATCTAGGTTTAGGCCTGATTAACCGTTTACATTGGTCTATAACCTCCTGAATATTACAAACATCAATATAAAATCCCAAAAAAGCTGCTGAGTTTCTTTTTATAAACAGCTGTTTTTAAATTTGTTCTACGTAAAACTTATGGGGAAAAATCCACCTTTGAGAGTGCCTTGCACACTTTTAAGGGTAAGAACTTTTAAATTCTAAAATATTATTGCAAAACTACAAATTAAGACACGATTTGTTGACACCTCAAATGTTGAAATTGGTCCTCAAATAAGGGAGGAATAGTGTTCAGAAAAAACAGCTTCATGTATTTTAATAGATATAGATAGGCCTAGGTAGATTATCAAGTCCAAGATATTTTTAATTATAATGAGCTCGGAAAAGAAACCCCAAATTTAACTCCAAAAAGACATACATGGGGAGTAAATTTTGTGTACGTAGGGCCTATAAGCCAAGTGGGACTGTAGATAAATATATTCGGATGCTTGATGTGAAATCTGTGTGTGCATACCTTCAATTTGAGACCTCAATCATGAAAATCGGTCAGGTAGAAGAGACAAAGGAACTCGGAAAAGAAAAACAAATTTTTTTAAATATATATAAGATTTTAAGATTTTAGGCTACAACCAATAGGTAAAAGAGATGAAAAATAAGACTATAATAATTAGGAGTATTGACTGAAGTTTATAAGAAAGTTACCTTTCAGTAAGCACAAAACCATTGTGCTCCAAAACTGGTACTTTTTTGAAAGGATTTAATTTCTCAAAATCTGATTGAAGGTGTTCTCCTGAAACAGACAGATTTATTTCATTGAATTGCACCCTTTTCAGGCTATTTTACTCTCAAAAATATTGATTTGTATTTTGTGAAGGACTTAATAATATTGCAGTACAAGACAAACAAAGTAAGTTAGGTAATTGCACAATTACATTTTAAAATTGTTTTAATCTTAGAGCTCTTCTAAGCATATACACAACAAAACAGAATCTTTCATGTGGAAACAATAGATGATAATTGAGACATAATAAAAGCAGTAACTTGGCTCTATGAAAATATGCAACACAAAATTTTGGTCTGAGAAAGTATGCACATGTCACAGGCAAAGATTATCTGTCACGATGGTAGCGATACCTATGAATACTTTATACTTTATAATTTTTATTGAAATGGGGACCAACATGCAATGACAGTTGGAACCTATCTATCTTTCATTGTTATAAATTATAATAGGCAAACTAGACTTACTTAACCACTATCCACAAAAAAATGGGCAGAACTTTGATACAGGTACGACTCTATCGTAATAATCAATAGGTAGTTACAATCAATATAAAAATTTGGTTTTTGGTTAGGCTAAGAAATAAAAACAATGAAACTTTGATGAAGAGAATAAGTTTATTACTTAAACAAAGTCTTATATTTATTTATCCTTATCCTTATACTATTTCAATATAAACAAAACATTTTTTTTACTAACTTGATACCAACTCAAAGGTTTCAAATTATTTTTCAATTTGCTCTCAAACCTGAGAGGTTCAAAAGTTCTTTCAGTCGACTAGAAGGTAAACTCTTTGTCAAGAAGTCTGCCAACTGAAGTCTTCCAGGTAGGTACATGTTCCACTTGAATCATCGTTTGTAGAAGTGCTCTCTTGCTCTCTAAAAAAAAGTGGAATCGAACACTGATGTGCTTCGTACTTCCATGCGTTAAAGGATTGTGTGCTTATTTTACTGCACCAGTATTCTCAATGTATAGTGACTTCGATTGAAGAACCACTGATTTCTTCTAAGCCTTTATGCCATATTACTTTTTTAGCAGCTTCACTAGGAGTAATGTAGCGCTTCAGTAGTGGATAGTGGAATACAATTTTGTTTCTTAGAAAACCAACTGCTGTCCAGGTAATTCCAGATCAAAATCAATATCCTGAGCTTCATGAAATTGTGAAAAAACACATGATTCATGGGCCATGTGGAATACTGAATCCAAATTCACAACGGCCATAAAAACCATAAACGTACCCGAAAACCAACAAACATAAACATCCTGAACGTGACTTTATGCTGTTTTCATCCCCTGCGAAGTCTGCGTTGGTGTAACATTGAAGGATCTTCAGTGCATCGCTCCGCTTTGTATAGTTTAGAACTTAGTCCTTAGAACCAACCATAGGTAACGAAGAATGCTCTTGACTTGGTTCCAGTCTTTGATGGTTGACTAATCACATGCTGTGCCACCATACTAAGTTAACTGCATAGCAGATGTCAGGGTGAGTGTTTATGAGGCATAAAATAACTTAAGAATTTGTACTGACTCTTACCAACAAAAAGAATTTAATTTACTACATGTATTTGACAGTCTTTTGGGTTTATTTGTGACTTTTTTATTGTCAATACTTATTAAAAAGGAGATAGTGTAGTTTATTTGTAAAATAATGCATTCACAACTTCAGAATAATCATTACAGTTTTTTTTCAGTTTTTAACCCTCCAAGTGTCTCTAGTTTTGGTCTTAATGTTCGCCCATTTATTGCGCAATCGCAGGGTTTTATTAAAATGTATCTTAAAAATAAAATAATTGTATTTTTGTACTTCTTATGATTTGTAGGCCTACTTTCAAGGATAAAAATATGAAAAAAAATAAAAATTAAAATTAAATTCTTTCCGTAAAAATAAAAATCATGGAGCAACCAATTAATTTATTTCTGGACCACTTGATATGGATTGACCCAAACTAAAAAAAAATGTAAAGTATACTGTTTTATATATCATTTCTTTTGGAAAATTATGGGCTTCAATGTAACATATAAAACATAGGCTAACAAAAAAAATTTTCAAAAATTTTTGTTTGGTTAACATTTCTCAAAAATTATAAAATAAATGAAAAAAATAAATGTTTGCGCTCAATAAATTGTTATAATTTATAGGTCTACAAATATTTTAAAATAGCCACTTTGATCAGAATTTTATGAGAATTCCAAAAGTATAATATAGGGCCTAATATAAGGAAGTAGGCTTGCAAATAAATAAGTTATGGGCAAAAAACAGATTTCGGTACATAGCGTTTAGCTAAGAATGCATAGCCTAACCATAACTAGGAATCTGGCTGATAATTTACATCAATATCACTACCTACTTCTTCAGGATCATCAACCAGCCCTTCAAAATCACTTATATCTTCTTACTTATAATGCACCACGTATATTACTACTTTTGATTTTTAACACTAAAACAATTATAAACGTAATAAAACACATCAGTCATCAGTGCGAGGTTAACCAAGCTGTTTACAAATACGCACGTCAGCTGTCTGCTACAATATTTTCGGAACTAAAATAAAAAGCGTATGGAAACAGACATCAGGAGAAAGCTCTGAATCTACTGAAAAAAACTATACCTAACTCGATCCAGTTCAATCCGATTCAGTCAGTCCCAGAGCCGTCGCCGTTAACAGTGTTTGTGAGTCGCAAAAGCGACACATAACATTACAGTGGATGTGTTATGAGTCGCTTTTACGACACATAACACTCGGAGGGTTAAGATTTCCTGTTAATTGACCTTTTGAGTTATCCAGCCTAGGTCCCTGGTTCGGTCTCCGGTCCTGCCAAGGCCGTAAACTAAGTTAAACCGTAGTTTTCCAAGGCGTAAACTAAGTGGGGGTCTACTAATAGTATACCTACCCATATACCAAGGCCACCTTTAACTCCAGGGCCCAGCCTGGTAGAATTGGCAAGGTCCCAGGTGTATAGGTGTACAATAAGTGATAATACAATACAATAAAGTAGGTGTAGGTGTGCAATAAGTGTTGTATAGGTTGTTTAGACGCCCCACTTGCGAGCGACGTTGCCACTTCGAAGACCGCTGCCTGTGTATTAAACCCTAGCTAGGACCAGGCCTATTTAAATTCTAATAATTATGTAAGCCTACCTATTATCTGTTTTGTAAAGGGGCTGTACACATACGACTCCCCCAACGATTCATATTATTTGTAATTCGTACACTACGTTTTAACACATACTAAAATTAAAACAAACAATACTCTACAGTACTTAATTAAGTTATGTCTTCACTACATACCTTTTGATAAATTGACAGCTACAGCATCATAAGGTATCCGATTTGTCATAAAAAATAACGTCAATGCTCTAGAAGGTTGAGATAGGGTATCATAGAACAGCCGTAGTTTACCCATTTAATTATTTACAATAATGGCGTGTGTTGAACTTACTAAAATAATTGTTATGATAATGTTTTTTTAAATGTTGGCAGTTTTTTTTAGTTCGCGGTTATGTGTTATCATTTACTTTATAACATTTACAGTTATGTGTTATTTATTGATCCACAAATTGTTATGCATGTAATTGATTGTAAAATGGCGATTTTGCCGTAAAAAAATAAATAAATAAAAATAAATAAATGTGCAGTCTGCAGTGACTCAGTTGGATAGAGCGATTAGATTAGAGGTTATGTATGTTTTTGTTATTATATGAATGAAAAAAAAAATAATTAAATGAAACATGACTTACCACTTGCATGGTGTGGCACACGGGAGATTTTCAGGTGCCGTTATGACGTCACTAACAGCTTTGCTTGCTCACAGGTCCAATAGTGTGGCCTTGGTCCAAGCTGACGCCGACACAGCGATTGTGGGCAGATTTTCACGGGATCCCTTCAAGTAGGTAACCTTTCAAACTGGTGAAGGGACCTACCTGCCCGATATTGAAATCGGTCAGGTTGGTTACTTTTCAATTTGGTGAGGTAATGAACGCCCTCTTGCTCTTGTGGTGGGGGCATCGACTGCTCTCATTGGCTGCAAGGTTTCTGGGGGAGGGAGTAGTTGTTATGGGGTGAACAGTGCTGCCAACCCAAAAGTCTGGAGCAATAAACATTCCCATACAAGGGTAATGTGGGTAATTCCGATATTTACGGCTACAAAGTAGGCAGTATAAATGCCGAAGGAAATTATATGTATAAAATATCTAGTTAGAACTTTTCATAGGTGAAATACTGTAAATAACAAAATACGATATCAAGTCCATCATCTTGTGAACCTGTTTCTCTCCATGCCCCTGGGTCACTGCTAGGCTACTTTCTCTTGTAACTAAATATCTACAGTATTAACGGGTCAGATTTTATTAATTAACTAGCTGTTACCGTTGGCATCGCCCGACATACTTTTTCGTCTTTTATTCTTTACTATAAGCCTGCTGAAGTTGTCACTGACTTCGCTACGGAACGGAACTACCCTCTCTGGAACAACTGAATGATGTTTTTGCCAAAAATACTAAAGTATTCATATCTCCTTTCATTCATAATCATACTCCAAGCCAAATTTTCCAATGGTACAGTTAGTTTTCTCTAACTTTATTGAAAAGTATTTCAGATACCGGTAGTCTAAAGTAGGATTAAAAGTAACACAAAAACATTATTTTATTTAGCGATATACTGTATATATATGATGTTCCCCGTTACTGTCTCGGCATGCTCTTGATTTGATATTATTCTTGAATTTTGTTGTCCCTTCTGTACATTTAATAATTACTAGAGGGCCCATGCTACTCTACAACGTTGAAATGAAAATCATATTCGAGCAATAATCAAATTTATAAATTTTTATTGAGTATCTTGATCTTAACTGATTCAAACGATAAATAGCTCAAATTAACAACTTTAATTAACTTACTATGTTGCGTAAAAAACATGAAAAAAACATAAACAATAGTGGACATATTGATTTTTAATCATAAAAAACCCTTATAAAAAAATAATTTATATGTTGGTTCACATTGCAATTGCTTGTAGTCCGTCCGATTTGGATAACTAATTAATAGCTTAAATGAAAGCCGGCATTTCACTGAAGGTTCTTAGACCAAAATATGTAGGATTATATAATTATAACTGGTGAAACGCATCTTAAATTGAAGTAAGAATTCGAAAAAGTCAAATATATGTTTTTTGGACGGGTAATACAGTAGATCAATATATATGCCGATGCTTAGAGTGAAATCTGTGCACACCCTCAATTTGAGACCTCAATAATGAAAATCGGTTAAATTTATTTTTAAATATGAGAAGATAGGTGAGGATAGGACTATTAACGTTAAACGAAAACTATCACCGTTTTACAACAAATTGTGTAGCAGTTCCGGTTAATGATAACAACCTATACTGAATTGAAGCTTTAGAATAGAAGATTTAAAATTGTTTACGGTAGCAAGCTCCTAAAATGTAATAATGTCGGTAGCTATACTTGCGATAGTACACTTGATAGGTTTTTAACAGCTTTTATTGATTTATGCATTATTATTATATAATAAATAATGCTATTTAATAAAATAAAATATTAGTAATCATATGGTTAAACGTACGGACACTGACTAGTTTTTAGGTGGCGGAACAAGCAAATTTTCACAGTTTTGAATGTAAACCTATTTTACTCGAAATATGTTTGAGATAGAAAAACACTCTTGAAATACAAAAGTTGTGGATAATTTAATTCTACACTACCGTTATTCCATAAGATTTAAGATCCAAGCATTGTAGCTTATAAGTTACAGACCAAAATATAATATCTTGCATACTCGAATTTCTTCTGAAATAGATTTAATCCCCTAAACCACCCTTGAATTTAGAACTTTGCAAAACCCAACTTTGTACATCTACACCATATACATGGATTGCCGTCCCAAGGTCCCAATGCAAAATTCTATTATTCTAGGTCTTATATATGTTTTGAGATACAGTGATCATTTGTCAGTGATATGCCAATCAATATAAAGGTAGGTCAATGGAAAGCATTTATCTACGTGGTGATCGGATGCATAGCAGGTTCAAAACGGATACGTCACAAAATTCGTGTTTGCCTATTAAATATATTGGGTATCTATATTTAATATATAGATACCCAATATGCCTATAAACATTTAAACTTATGGGTCAATTTGCTGCACACAAAATCCAACAAAGTCTTTTAATAATATAGATACTTATAAGGTTAAGGAAACTCCAGAACCACTTGGGTGGAACTCAAAAGTCAGATCAGGATAAAAACTACTTAGTTTTCCTATTTAATGCCTGAAGAATCAGTACACCAAATTTCAACGTTCTAGCTAGTCTGGAAGTTGGATTAGGCTAGTAATGAATCATTGAGTGAGGGCTTTTACTTTTATATGTTAAGATTATTAGCTAAATATAACACATATGAAAGGTACAAAATAAAATCCATAAGTTAAATACAGTAGTAGAATATATAAATACGGAGCTCCAGACAAAGCTGTCTTTAAAATTTGAAATAGGTGTTGCTGCAGACTTTTAATTTTATTCAGCGAGATTACGCCCCTGAATTTAGTGTTACTCCCTCAATATGACAACACTGATGGATAAATCTAGCTCAGTGGGATAAATGCAGGGATGCAGCAGGCACTAGTAGAGCGAAATTTCCCACAATTTCCATGTAACCGTTTGACTGGTTTTCAGGTTATGTGACAAAATCCAAAACACAATTGAACTTAGGATGCACAATAAATCGGATGTGTTTACTTTTGGGCTATTGACTTAATTATTACATCAAACAATTAAATGTATTCTGAACTTGTGTACCCGTTGCGAAATAGAGCGTACTATAGCTAGCCGCCATACCCGTGCTTCGCTAAAGGAGCGCTAAAGAGAATAATTTATTGTTATGTTCCATAGATCTGTTGTATGAAAAGTTAAATAACTCATAAAATAAATGCCTAACATTTGCATTTAAAGCATCAATCGAATTATTTTCAAAAACGTGTTTTATATCAACTAGACAGCTAGCTGTTATCCACGGGCTTCACCCCGTTCCGTTTGACTTCATAAGTATTAATAACACTATTGATTGGATAAGTTAAGTTAATTGTTAACTGATAATCATTTAGCGTTGAACTTACTAAACAACATCACAGATGCAATTTACGGACTTGAGAGGCCATCAATTCTGGACCTGCCCTTCAGATTTTTGTAAAGAGTTTTATCGAAAAATTTGTTGTTAACAGCTATTTTTAATGTTCAAAAGTTACTTTGTTGTATTGCATTGCATATTTATCATGAAAACATAAAAAGAAATTTACAGATACTTTTAGTTGTACATATTCTTTAAAGACATCAAGAGAGCTATCAAGATCCCTTAGTTCGCTGACGATATAAATCTGTTTGTGGAAAGTCGCTTCCCTCTATGATTATGAGTCATTTTGCCTTAGGCTTAATACTTTAATTTGAAATGGCAACCATACAAAGTAGGTATTTTAAGCCAAGTACCAGTATGCATGGAGATGAGTGTAGGATGGATGAGTGGCACGATTTTGTATCCTTGTTAGTGACTAAGGCTGACATATTCCTTAGACACAGCTGTCAATTAATAGCCCATACTTTGGGCTAATGGAAACTATATGGACCTACAGTTTATAGTAGAAGAATCCGAACCACATTTTTCCTTGGTATAAAAAAATTGGTCTAATTATCAGGATAGTACTGCGGATAGTCGTAGTAAGGGCGTTAATTCAAACCACGAAGTATCACATCCACAATACATGCCTATAAATATCCACAACTCATGGTACAACCTCCTAGTAGCTGAATTACAGGATGACACCACCGTCTCAGTCTCTTAATGATGTCTTAGCTAAGACTTGACCAAAGATAATGGTTGATTCCACCAATAAGTTAAAAATTGTTGGCATTAACAAAATTCTCTGGATATTGACTATTTCCCAGATTCTTATTGACTCGCCATGTGCGTTTGGGCTTTGGGCCAGACATTCAGCACATCTGTGCCAAGACCTCTGGCATTCTCAAAATGATCTGCTGTGCAAGACACTGTTTGAGCATCCATGATTTTTGTATCCATACCTGCTATATATCCAGTATAATGTGCGGCAACAACTAGGGTCTTCGGTCTTACTGTGTATTCTGGTCGCTTTTACCAGCACAGCCTTTTTCAATGTCTTAGGCCCCCAATACGGGAAGAATTAATGAGCGTACGCCTAGTATAAATTGTCCTTAAAAAGTAGTTCTCGTATGTCAAGAAGTTTGCAACATAGATTTACATTGTAAGAAAGGGGATTAACCCCGTACCCACGGTGCTCATCTAAGCAGATACTCTGTTTACATTACACTTATAGTCCTCGCCACCCTAAGTTGAGGCAGCCCAAGGCCGCACGGCGTATATCTAGTGCGGCCTTTGGCTGCCTCAACTTAGGGTGGCGAGGACTATAGTCGACCAGTTGGTGTGAAGAGAGTTGAACAGTAGCATGAGTATCGATTTACAAATTCCTTTCCCAGCTGACGTGAGCTAGGCGATGACCGGTAGGGCTGACTTCCTAGAAACATCGTTAACCTATAAGCCACACACCCTATCGGTAATCAGCCAATGAGAAGCGCTAATGAAGAAGATGGAGGGGTGACGAGTCTTGGAGCTGGAGGACCTGGAGAG